CAAGGAGTGGCTGGTGGGTTTGAACTGCCAACCTTCTGGTTAGCAGTCAAGTGCCTTAGGCACTACGCCACCATTAATAAATAGTAATAAGGAAGATGATGTCATGAAGATAGATATGCACAAGTGCAAGTTCACCCTTGACTGTATTCCCCAAGGTCACTGCCAACCCCCTCTGGTCAGCAGACCCTCTCTAGGGCTGGGGATGATACAGCAGCAGCTGAGAGCTCCCTGAGCTTGTTCCCTGGGCCAGGCACTGCACCACGCTGGGCACGGCGTACCCCTGTCTCAACTGCAACCCCAGGCTCCTAGGAAGTTATGCCCATTGTACAGACACGTCAGTGCTGAGTCCATCAACAACAATGGGAATAACTAACTCATTGTTACTCATGCGCCAGGCCCTTTTCTGAGACCTTTCATTCATTAACACCCCCAGCAGCCCTCTGAAGGGAACACTGTCATTGTCTCCATTGTACAGATGAGGAAACCAAGGCCCAGAAAGGCTTGCCCAAGGCCCATAGCCAGGAAGTGGCCGAGCCAAGATTTGAACCCAAGCCTCCGGGCTCCAGTGCTCATGGAGCCAAAGCAGTTGTTACCGACTGCTGACTGTACCCCAAGTGTTGTGTTTATTTTCCCTGGAGCCAGCATGAGGTGTCAGGGTAGCAGGGGACAGTCAGCATTAGTTGACTCTTTCTGAAAGGTGATCAATGTGGTAGATCATTAATTATTATTATTGGGACCACCATTACTTGAGCTGTTCTAGGGCCCTCCCTGCAGTGGGAGGTTTCAGATGTGTTATCTCACTGAACCCTCAAACTCCTGCAGCAGATGCCACCATGTTTGCCCAGCAATTTAAAGCTTCACAGACTCGCTTCACCAACATCCTCCCCAGGGATCCTGAGTAATCCTGGGTGCTGGTGTTATTAATACCCAGGCTCACTTGGCTGCAAGGAAGGACAAGAGCAGACGTGCCAAGGGCCGACCCAGGACAGGAGGAAGGCCTTGAGGCAGAGAAATAGGGAGACCTGGCCTTTGGGGGCAAGAACTGTTCCCTTTTTGGTGCAGAGCCCCTGAGTTAAATCAGGGCTAGGACTCTGTTGGCTCAGGTGGCTGTGCCCAGAAGTCCCTGTATCCTGCAGTACCCTCCACTGACCAGCATGACTTCCTGGGACCAGCCCCTGAAAGGGCAGTGCTAGCCCTTGGAGCCTGCCCAGCCTGTACCCAGTGCCCAACTGCCGACCCGTGCATGGCGTATTGTTGCCCACATAATCTGCCCCTGCCACCGAGGCACCTTTCTTTAATTAGGTCAAATGGGTTGTGATGGGAAATGCAAATCTGGGTCATTGCTTATGCAGATGTGCAGCCGAAGTCGCAGGATGCCAGCTGTGATGTCACCCATGTCAGCTTTGCCCACCCCCCGTGCTGTGGAGCCAGGCAGGAGGCCTCCCAGGCACATCTTGGGGTGGGTGGTGCGTGGTGGTGACTGTGGCCAACTTTCCCACTCCAAGGACTCTTGGAGGCCACATCTTCCAAACCCTTCACTGCACAAGGAGGGAAACTGAGGCCCAGAGAGAGGCAAGCCCCTGCCCCATGTCACCTGACATCACAGCTGGCATCACAGAGCTCAGACTCTAGCTTGGACTTTACATCGGACGGGGACTCCAGCTCCCCCTCAGCCAGCCATGTGACTTGTGCCTCAGTTTCCTTATTTATATAATGGGATTAGAAGCCCTTGCTTTACAAGGCTATTATGAGATTTAAGTCATAAAATCTAAGTAGCTAGTCTAGTGACTGACACATAACCCAAAACCAAACCCACTGTCATCGAGTTGATTCCAACTCCTAGCGACTCTATAGGACAGAGTAGAACTGCCCCGGAGGGTTTCCAAGGCTGTCAATCTTTATGGAAGCAGACTGCCTCATCTTTCTCCCACACAGCAGCTGTTGGGTTCAAACTCCTGATCTTTTGGTTAGTAGCTGCATGCTTTAACCACTGCACCAGAGCTCCTTAGTTGACACATAGTAGGTGCCTAATACATGGCAGCTTGGTGTCATTTTCATGAGTATCTCTAATTCTTCCATGTGCCAAGAAAAGTCTTTGGCTTTTATGAGGGTATGTGATTTTGGCTGCGTTCAGCCGTGACAATGGTGGGGCCACAGAGTCCCCCAGTGCACCAGGCTGTTTGGAATGCATTCTTTTGTGTCATTCCATAAACACTCTTTGAGCACAGTGCAGGGACATAGAGGGCACTGAGATATGGCCCCTGTAGTCTAGGGGGCCAGGTGGGGCACAGACCCCTGGCTTAGGTAGCTGAAAGATACACCCCTGAAGCAGGAGGTCACAGGGCTTGCAAGTCATGGGGTCTTGAAGGAAAAGCACAATGTGAATCGGGAGGCCCCAGATAGACAGTAGGGGGCTTAGGCTGAAGAACAGCCTGGTTGTGGGTTCAGATCCCAGCTCTGCCTTTCTTCAGTGCAGGATCTGGAGCAAATCACCGCCCCCCTCTGAACCTCAGTTTCCTGAAATGAGGGTAGCAATGATGCCCACTCCCAGGTCCACGGGATGGCATATAAAAAGTATGTGCATGGTACCTGGCCCACACAGTAAGCACTCAATAAATGCCTGCTCTTCTTAGGTGGGCTCAGTGTATAAAAACCAAAAGCTGCCATCAAGACAATTCCAACTCATAGCAACCCCCATTGGATTTCCAAGGCTGTAAATCTTTATAGAAGCAGAATGCCTCATCTTTATTCCATGGAGCAGCTAGTGGGTTCAAACCGCTGACCTTTTGGTTAGAAGCCAAATGCCTTAACCACTACACGACCAGAGCTCCTTTTGAGTTCAGTGTATATATGTTGTTGTTGTTATGTGCCGTTGAGTTGAACCCGACTCATAGCAACCCCTCTTTGGGTTTCCGAGGTGGTATGTCACTGCGGAAGTAGATTGCCCAACCTTCCTTCCAAGGAGTAGCTGGTGGGTTTGAACCGCCAGCCTTCTAGTTAGCAGCCAAGTGCCTTAGGCACTAGACTACCAAAGCTCTCCAGTGTATATACAGGCAGGTAAATTGCTATAGAAAGAATTTCCCCAACACAAAGCATGTGGTGAGTCTACCATCATCTTCCTCCTTCAGCAGGCAGGAGTGCCTTCAAAGCATCCATACAGAGGTAATTAAGCCTTAGGACTTCAAAGTCAAGTTTGGCCCACCTTTTATCTTGCCAAGAGACGGAGGAAGCATGACTACAGGGCTACAAGCCTCAGACTCCCAGGACTTCTGGCAGGCGAGCTCACACTAGGGTTTGTTGGCATGAAGCTGGCACAGAGCAGGAGGGCTGGGTGCAGGGTCTGGGGCATTGGCTGCTTGCGGTCCCCGTGATGCCTAAGACCTGCCCTGCCTGTGCCTGTCAGTAATGGCGGCAGTGGCCACAGAGCACCTACTGTGTGCTGAGAGGTTGTTTTCATTGCTCTCTCACGTGATCCTCACAGCAGCGTTAGGAGATGTATATGTTTCTATGATCTCCACTTTATAGGTGAGGAAACTGAGACACAGAGCGGTGTGTGCAGTGGGTGGGTGGACCAGGACTGGAAGCCATCTCTGAGCCCCACACTCTCCTGCCGCTCACACATGCTTCCAAAGGCCCCCTCCAGGTTGGATAGGCCTAAGTGTTTGGATTTGGGCTAAGGGAGAATTCCAGGATGCAACCTAATCCCCAGAACCTCCACCCTCGTGGATGCTTCTGTAAGAGGCATTTTCATCTCAGAAAATCCGACTGCTAGTTCCTGCTTTAATGGGGTGCTCCGTGTTTCTTGCCCCCCCCCCCAAAAAAAACTGAACTTAATAAATGTTTCTATGCACTTGCTATCTGCGAGCTTCTCAGGAATGATGAAGACCCAGACCTTGTCCTCAGGCCGCCATCTAGCTGGGGTGGTGGTCCCTAGTGTTGGGGACCTCTGCCCAGAATGGGGAGTAGGTGGGGTGATAGCAGAATTGAGTCCCGGGAACTCAGCAGAGAGGGAAAGGTTCTGCCCAACCATCAGGGAAGGCCCCAGGGAGCTGTGAGCCGTGGGCAGATCTGGCCCCTCTGGGCTCAGTTTCCTCATCTGTCAAATGGAGACCACAGGAATCGTCTGGCCAGGTCGCCATCTCCCCTCCTCCCTTTTCCAGAGCCCAGCTTGTGCGTTGTGTTATGGGAATGGGGGTGGGGTGTTTCATTGTCACCTGCTGTCCCATTAGGTGGCTCCATCCCTAGGCAGGTCCTCCACCTTCAATGCTGGCCCTGTAGGGTCATCCTGAAGTCTCTGGTTTCTTCACGGCAGGGTAAAAGGGGCAGTTCCTCCAGAGGACAGACTCAGGACATAGGGCTACGGAGTTAACCAAGCCAAGGAATCTTAACCAAGCCAAGGAATCTAAATCAAGCCAAGGCTCTGTCTTGGTTTTCTCATCTCTGAGATGAGAGGTGGCCACCCTAAGAGGGAAGCTTGCCATTTCTTGCAGTGACCTGCAAGGCTAGTGTTGAGGAATTATATGGGGGCTAAAGAGCTGAGCTGTGGAACCCACAGCCCTTGCTGTCCATACTGTCCAGCCCTCACCGTCTCTCCACACCCTTGACCTTGGCAGGTCACATCACACCTCTCATTCAGAAGTCCATTGTATACCTGGGCAAAGAGTGAACAAGGCAGGTGAGGCCCCAGCTGCATGGAGTGAGCCTTCTGGGGGCAGGAGGCAGACAGAGGACGAGCAACCATATGGGTAAATCCTGTAATTAGGGATGGTAGTAGTGCCGTGGAGGAGAGAAGCAACCTCAGTTATCTGCAGTATGGGGTGGTTGTGGGGATTACAGGGGGCCAGGTGGGTAAAAGATTTGATGGGCATGTGGGAGGCTCTCAGTAGCTGGGCTGCTCCTAAGAGTCCCTCCTGCACCTTGAGGGGTGCTGCTGAGGGCTCTGGAGGGGGCAGCGGATGCCCAGGTCCAGGCCATCAACTCCCCCTGCTGTTCCTCTCCAGAGGCATCCGACTGCCCTGTCTTTTCGCTGTTCCCTGGCGGACTTCCAGATCGAGAAGAAGATAGGCCGTGGGCAGTTCAGCGAGGTGTACAAGGCCACCTGCCTGTTGGACAGGAAGACGGTGGCTCTGAAGAAGGTGCAGGTGAGCTGATGCCCCCCACGGAGTCAAAGCCACGTTGCAGGAGCAGTTCCTGTATCTAAACTGTGTGGCCTTCTCCGTCAACGAGGGCAATAAGTACCCAACTCACTAGGCCAAAGACACTATTAGGCATAAAGGAAAGGAAAAATGAGTGTGTTTTGAGCACCTGCTGTATACTGTGTTGCAGTAGGAGCTTCACACAAGTAGCCTCATGAACATAGCAGCCACCCTGTGACTGGGGATTATTATCCCATTTTTCATACAAGGCCACACTGCAGAGTTAAGGAACTTGCCAAGGCCACAAAGTGAGTTAAAGGGGTGGCAAGATTCAATCCCGTGTCTAACTCACCTGGATGCCTGGGTTCGTGCCATGCTTTTGGGCTGTGAATGTCCTTCCTGACCTCCTTGTCCCCCCCAGGGGGAGAAAGAAGTGTTGGGCAGATGGGGTTTAAACAGCAAAGTCAGGCCAGGAAGCATTTCACTGAGAGCCACTGGGCCCATTTTGCTGGAGGAAATTGGCTTTAAATCCTCCAGCAAAGCTTTCTGAGTCTCTCAATTTGCTCATTTGTCCTTAAAGAAGGAGATTAACAGCCTGGGCCAAGGGTGCCCAGGAGAAAGGAGGCAGTTCAGACAGTCATGAATGGGGCAGACGGAGGCGAAGAGGGTAACTTGCATGTTTCCTTGTGAACATCACGTGTGGCTTCGTGCCCCCAGTGGGTGGCTGGGTGGCCAATTGGGTCCTTGGTCCAGGAAAGACCCACTTCAGAGGTTCTCTTTATCTTGGGTTTTTTTTTTTTTTTTTTTTCTGTGCCATGATGTGTTTTGTGATGGGGCTGCTATGATGTCCACCCTTTGTTTGAGCTGTAAGTGAAAAGGTGCTGGAAGGAGCTCACACTGAGCCCTGTGAGCCTGGAGGAGAGAGGACCCATGCCAGGCACTTGTCCCATATCTTCTGACTCAGCCCCCACGACCACCCTGGGAGCTTGGGCAACTGTCCTTCTTCACAGAGGTGAAAATGAGACTGTGAGTGAGTTTCCTGGCCTGCCCCCTGCCGGCTGTGTGATGTCACTTAGTGGCTTGAGTCTGGGCCTCAGTCTCTTCCTCTGTAAGTTGAGGATAGTAACCCCTGCCTCACGGAGTTGTCACAGTGCCTGGCACATGGTAAATGCTCAGTAGGTGGAACCGTTATCATTATGAGGGTCCCTTGGGGAGGAAGTGGGAGAGCAGGATTTGAACTCAGGTCCTTGTGGCTTCCTGTGGGGGTGTTGGGCACTGTGTTGTAACTATTCAGTTTCTCTTTTCTTCCCACCCAAGATATTTGAGATGATGGACGCCAAGGCGAGGCAGGACTGCGTCAAGGAGATTGGTCTCTTAAAGGTGAGTGTCCTGGGCTAAGCGGCTGCCCCTCACCTCCTTGGAGTGACCCAAGCTCCAGACTAGGCTGTGTCATGTCCAACACAGGCTGCGAGCACCAGGGACTCGAAGCCCATGAAGTTCAGAAAGGACCCCTCTTGAGGGCAGCAGTGCATTTGTTTACTCGTGGCTAGAGGTGGGGGCGCTCTCTCTGCTTTACCTCCTAGCTCCATGGTCCCTCCACCCCAACTCAGCTGTCCTTGCCCGGATCAGCACCACGCGGGACACTCGTTTGCCTGAGGAGTCAGGTGTGGACATCTGATCTGCGGTTCTGTGTCTGTCTCCCTCTCTCTTTCTTTTTCACCCTTTTATCATCCTTCCTCTCAGCCTTTATTCTTTTATTTTCCATTGTGGCAGACCATGAACATTTGAATATTCAACCATGGGAGTGTGTTTGTCCCCCTGGGACATGCATCTCTGCTGGGGATGGGTCAAGATTGCTAGCTTAGGGCCCTGGGGAGGTTCACAGTCAAGGTCAACTGGGGGCTGGAGGGGTTCCTGTGTGGTCATGCTGTTGGGCTCTTCCCCAGGCCTCCCGAAAGGAGAAGGCAGGCCACACAGCTGCAACTTCTTGTTTATAGGACAGGCTCCCCGAAGGGTGCAGCCAGATGTGCCCACACCTCTGTGGGCAGAACCTTGGTTCAGGTGAGGTGGGCTGACTGGACAGATTGTACCAAGTGACAGATGTGCAAGACATATGATAGGGAGTTTATGGTTGTCCCTCTCTTCTTGACTGATGGCTTCCATGTTGGCCTTCCCAGAATCAGAGAGAACAAATTTCTGGACCAGACTTTAGCCCTGACCTGGGTCTGCACTCTTCTGGTGATCCCCCCTATTCCCCATTCTTAGGATTCTGTCTGGTGGGACCTCAGAGGTGATGGAAGAGTGTGGGAGTGGAGAAATGGTGTGAGCTTTGGAGGCCCAGGGGTCTGAGTTCAAATCCTGATGTCTTCATTTAGGAGCTGTGTGACCTTAAGCAAGGACTTAACCTCTCAGAGCCTTGGTTTGCCAATCTACTCAATGGCAAGACTACCTGGCACATAGGATCTGGGAGGATTAAGAGGATTAAATAAACTAGTATCTAAAAAGGGTCCCATGCAGTAGAGCACCCAATAGGTGCTCACTTGGTATCCTTCTCCCTTCCCATGAAACACACGCAGAGTTTACTTGGCAGCTTCCAGTAAATTGGGGCTGCCTATGACCAGATGACCACCAAAGCAGCAGCTACACAACTTCAGTTTAGCAGTTGAAACTGCTGGTCCTTGCCGTGGCTTCTCAGGCCTGGGACCTGCCTTCCTGGATTGCAGGCTGGTGGCATAGTGCCTAAGGCATTTGACTGCTAACCAGAAGGCTGGCAGTTCAAACCCACAAGCTACTCCTTGGATGGAAGATTGGACAATCTACTTCCGTAGAGATACAGCCTCAGAAACCCAAGGAGGGGTCGCTATGAGTCGGAACTGACTTGATGAGAGTGAGTTTGTTTTTGTTTTTGTTTAGGGGGGGGTGCACGGAACAGGTGGGCAACAGATGGAGACTGTCCGGGGTGACATGGCCCAGGGGCCCAAGGGGAAACCTGCTTCCTGGGCAGGCCCTGCAGAGGCCAGGGTACTGTCCTGGAATCATGTAGAAAGCTGAGATGAGCCTGTTGCCGGGAGCCCAACAATGTGGATTTGGGATGAGGCTGAAGAGGTTGGTAGGGCTAGATTGAGGTGGCCTCAAATGCCAGGCTCAGGACCACAAGCTTGAAGGTGGGAACAAAGGGGATTCGCTGAAGGGGCCTTAGAGCTGGAGGGGGAGTGTGGCTGAATGTGAGCTTTGGGCCTTACTGGTGGCCACTGCCAACACTGGGTCACAGAGTGAGACCGGAGGTGAGGAGGCCTGAGGGAGGTGTCTTTAACTCTATTATAGCTGAAAAAATAGCCTTCAAATACTAACATTTAAAAATCCTGAGTAATGCTCGGCTCTGGGACCTAAATGTGGTCTCAGAGACTATGATTTTATAAGCTGTAGGTAACAATTGTCCCGATCACCCATGCCCCGCTCCCTCCCCACCTGGATGCCAAGAACCCACCTGTGCTGCTCACACTTCAGGAGACTAGCACAGTGGAAGTGCTGAGTGACTTTTCAAAGCCAGCCTTTTCCAGGTCCCTGGGCACAAAGATGTGTGACTGGAGCCCCTGCCTTGAAGTGGCCTCCACCCGTTGGGGATCCCAGGCCACCTTGTTTCTTTCTGGCCTAAGCTGGGCCTGTCTTGGGTAGCAAGCACACTCTCACTCCAGCTCACTAGCCATGTGACTGTAGACAGGCTGCTGACCTCTAGGGCTTCCATCTCTTCTTTTGCAAAAAGAGGGTGATGATAGCAGGGCGTCTTCAGAGGTGTGGGGGTGTCGGTAAGCCAATGCGTTTGAAGAGCTCAAGTGCTCATCATGGATGGCCCTCTGTTATAACAGTATAACTTCTTCCCGACAACCCCAGCCCCTTCTGGGAACACCCATCCACCTGCCCGGCTGCCCACGGGAAGGCAACAGGATGTTCAGGGGCATGAGGTGCTTCCTACAACACAGAGGGAAATGCAGTTCTCAGAGGAGGCACTGGGCAATCTCATTCCAATCATGCATGCCTAGACCCCAAAACTGAAACTCCCCTCACAACGGAGGTGGGGTCGATGACAGCCACCTGTGCGGCAGGAAGGCGAGGGCGTCTTTGAGTGTAAGCTTGGAGTCCACACGTTTCACCACCACTGAATGCTAGACGTGGGGGATGCAGCCCAGTGCGGGAGGCCATTCCCTGTTATGTCAGGAGAGACCATGAGTCCTAGAGAGCAAGAGTCAAGCAAGAGGGGCCTTGCATTGCAGCAGTTGGTTCTGTCTACCCATCCACTCCTCAGTGGCCATCCCACAGTCAGGGCTGCCTGGGGCCTCAGGGATGACGCCACTCCCCCCCTCAAGGAGTTCCAGTGTGGCGGAGAGAGAGTTTTGCCCCTCTGGAGAGGGATGGGCATGAGGTGTGAGATGAGGGATGGAAAGAGGAAGGCTTACTGGGGGCCGTCAGGAGGAGGGGTCCCTCCCCTTTCAGGGCTGGCTTGTGAAATGAGAGAATGAGGACTGTGTGGCTGTGCGCTGTCTGCCACCACCCTCTGGACTTAGAAGCCAAGATGGGCTCAGGTCAGCGTTGGGCATGGATGCCTGTCCCCTCCCACCAGCGATGGGGCCTTTTAGACAATCGGCTCTAAATCGGCCACTGGCTATTGGCTGACAGAGCCCTGTGGATTGGCATACTATGGCAGAACAGTTGATTCTACTCTGCTTCCCCCAGATTTTGGTGCAAATAGTCAGTTTTGGTTATAAAAAGCCTCTGTTCTGATTTTACAAACCAAAACAGTTGCCAAGCTGTCCTCTCGGCCAGGCAGGGCTGACTTTCAGCAGACAGGGCACCCTTGTGTCCAGGCACCTTGCGGCAACCTCGGCAAACACACAGGCTTAACTGGAAGGCAAAAGACAAACTCGTCAGGACACCCTGGCGTTGGGATTACTTATTCAGCAGCTGAGGAGGAGTGGGAAAGAAAGGAGGCAAACCCTCTAAGTACCAGCTGCAGACTGTCAGGTGCTAAGCTCAAGGGCCTGGCTTCCTTGAGGGTCCTGGATGTGATGACAATGACCACTATGATGATGGTGATGGTTTCCACAACAGTCTATTGAGTCATAGCTTTGGCCCAGGCACCGTTAGATGCTTCAGAAACATTAGCCCATCTACTGTTCACAACTGCTCTTCAGAATGCTATGCCCATTTTACAGATGGGAAAACTGAGACCCAGGGGTGCAAAATAGCTTTCCCAATGTCACTCAGGTCTACCTGACTCCCAAGGGGAGGCCTTTTCTCCAGGCACCCATCTTCCCAGAAAATACCAGGACTCCCGTTATCGGGTGCCAGCTGGGTACCAGCACGGGGCAGGTACTGCTCTGACTGATGCCGCCTCCCTCTTTCTTTCTCTCCTTGGGCAGCAACTGAACCATCCCAACATCATCAAGTATCTGGACTCATTTATTGAGGACAACGAGCTGAACATTGTGTTGGAGCTGGCCGACGCGGGTGACCTCTCGCAGATGATCAAGGTGAGGGTGGGTGGCAGGCAGACAGGGCCTGGAGGCTGCCCCTCAACAAGAGCCCAGGGGCAGGCAGCCCATTCCCAGCCCAAGTTCCCTGATGCTCTGGCCTTAGCAGAGAGGGCTGCTCAGACACATCAGCCCCCCTTGCCGATGCCCACAGGCCTCAGCTGTGGCCCCACAAGAGCCCTCTCAGGCTTTGCCCCAGTTGTCATGCTGGGTGTGCCTTTTCCTTCTCATTGGCTTCAGGGACACTCAACCCAACAGAGCAAGGTCTGCACAAGCAAGGCAAAGACGATGCTTAGACAAGCAGATGACTAGGGGAAGGCCAGCCATGGCCCGAATGGACCCTCTGGTTGCCCCCACTGCTCCAGCCTGCCCACAGGCACATGGGGCACTTCTCCCACCTTGCAGAAGGACCAGGGACAGCACTCAGGCCTAGGTCAAGCCCCACTATACGGATCTGGGGATGTGTCTTGTGCCTCATTTTACACAAAGGAAAACTGAGCCTAGAGAGGAAAGAGACTCATCTGAGGGTTCTCAGCAACATGGGGACAGAGCCGGGCCAGTGGCCCAGGTCTCTGTTTCCCAGCCTGGGACACACAATGGACACCATCTCCAGGATGATCTCCCCGAGGTTCCTCCAGCCCTGAGGGGGCGCCGTCATTCCCAGTGATGGCTTAGTCAAGGGCTCTCAGAGAGGCTGAGCAACTTGCCAGGTCTTCCAGCAGCTCAGTGCCAACTCTGGCTCTTACTCTCCACCCCATGACAACCCCCACACCACTCTGCCCCCTTACCCCACCTCCCAGGTTAGGCCACATCGATCAGCCACCTGCTCTGGGCCATGACCAGACCAAGTAGACACATGTACCGTGCCACACTATCCACAGATGAGGAAAGCAGAGCTCAGAGAGTTTGAGCCACCTGCCTGAGGCAGCACAGCCTCAAGGTAGAGGAACCCACATCTGCATGACCCCCAGGTCCACCCTCAGCCCAGCTCCCTGCTCCTCCCTGAAAGCCCTCACCTCCTTGCTGGCCTGGACATTGTCTCCATTAGGGACCCCCATTACCCTCTCCCTCAGATTTCAATCTGTCCAGCTCCTGAGCAAGGCTGGGGCACCCTCAGTCCCACAGCCTGGTCCCAGCCACACTTGGAAATGGGGCCAGGAGAGGGTTCTCTTTCCCACCAGGCACTGGGGAGTGAGCAATTGCTCATGCTTGCTCTTCTGAAATTTGGCTCCGAGGAATACGGGCATCGTTGGGAAGCATCATTACTTGAGCTGTTATCACCTGCTTTTATATTTTCGTTGACATATTAATGCATTTGCAGAGATGTTAATCTTCACACAGATCCCTAGTGGGAACAGATGTGGTATATCATGTCTTAGTTCCTCCTTCTCTCCTCCCCCCACAACTTTTCTTGTTTCTCCTTCATGTGTTGTTTGCACACTGAACAGTCGTGCACTGAGTGCTCACTCCGTGCCCATTCTGTGCTGAGATCCAGGGGCTGCTGGCATGGCCCTGCCCCTGGAAGCTCGTGTTCTAATGGAAAGGCAGCCCCATAAACGAGCAGCATGGGCCTCTGTGCACCAGCCAAGCTAGTCTTGTGAAAGCCAGGGAAGATTCCTGGAGGCAGTAAGGACCTGAGGGCCATGGCAGTCTAGTGGCAGTTAACGGCTGAGTACATTAACCACTATACCCAGCTCCCTGCTCCTCCCTGAAAGCCCTCACCTCCTTGCTGGCTGGCTTCTTTGGAGTCAAACAGTCCTGGTCACATCCCTTCCTCTCCCTGAACCTCAATTTCCACCCTGTTCCCAGGACGAGAGCACTGTGGGGACTGCAGGGCCTGGTGCAAGGTTCTTCCAGTTTAAAAGAGAGAGAGGAGGCACGTGGGTGCCCAGGACCCCCTTGTGCCTGGCCTGCAGTTGGGTGGGGAGAAGTACCCCCTTCCACCCTCCCCTTAATGCTTCCTAGGTTCCCTGGGTTCTTATCAATCCCCTAACCCCAGCAGGGCTTTGAGTGCCAGCTGTGTGCAGATTGGGTTTCAGTATGGCTTCTGGGCTCCGGGCTAGTTGGCCCTCCTTCTGCCCCCACCCCCCGGGGCTCAAGAGTCCTCTTCCTTCCCTTCCCCTGCCTGTTCCTCTTCCCTCCCCTGACCCTCTGATCCAGCTCGCCAGCAGAGCCCGGCTTGGCACTGCCCCCAGCAAGCAGGAGAGGCTGGTTGTGCGGTGAAGAGGCTCCGGATCCAGAGTCAGACACACCCAGTGGGTGGCCTTGGGCAAATGCCTGTGCCTCAGTTTCCTCATCTGTAATGTGCCCTTCCCAGTCCCTGGTGCTTGGCAGGAGCTCAGTTCTCTTGGTCTTACTTTCTAGCTGCCTCTGGGCTTTGAGGGGAGTGAGGGCCTTGCCAGAGCACAGCTGGCCTCTCCACGGTCACCAGCCTGCCAGGGTGGCCTGGGCACCTGCTGACCAGCAGGCCCTGTGTCCCAAGGGCGCAAAGCCTCAGGGGCCAAGCAGCTCCACCGTGGCCACAGGGCTGCCATTATTTACGAGGGACGGTGAAGCCAGGAGCTGCTACCACCTGGAAGCCGCCAGAGACTCTGCGCCTCCCTGCTAAATGTCAGGCGGTGCTTATAGGACGTGACATTTACAGAATCACCACTCGTGGTCACGCGCATCCCTCTTAAATGCTGTAATGAGGATTAACCAACAGCATGGCAAAATAATATTCCAGGCCCAGCCCACCACAGAGGCCTGGAGGTGGCCTGGGGTCAGGGTCTGTGCTGGGGGGAGGTACCTTTCCCAGATTGGAGCCTTGGAAGAGCCTCCACAAGCCAGGGGCTGCCAGCTGTGACTGTCACACTGTTGGAGGTACCAGATCAGGATCCCAGCTCTGCCTCCCCAGCTGTGTGACCCTGGGCACATTCCTGAGCCTCTCGGAGCTTGCTTCTGCATCAGGGGTTGCTGATTGAAGACCTGGGGTTGGGATGTGACTCTGTGCCTTACTAGCTACCATGCGGCCCTCAGTTTCCTCATCTGTAAGATGGGCACAGTCATCTCTGCTGAGGGCTCAGCACAGTGCCTGGCACACACCAGGTGCTTAGCAAATGGGAGCTCCGTGCCCTTTCTTCCACCCCAAGCCCCCTTTCCCAGGCAGGTGAGGCGTCCTGGGTTGGTTCCCGTTTCCCTGACCAAGCAATGGAACCTGTGTCAGAGCAGCTGCCCTGACAACGGGCCACAGCTTCACCTCTGGCTGCTTTGAGGCAGAAGCATTACCCAAATGAAAAGTCCCTGGTGTACAAGTCATTGAGACCCTCCCAGCTCGCTGCCAACCCAGCCCCCAGCTCTGCACCTAGGAGCCCCCACCCAGGACTCATTGACATGAACTGGGGACAAGGACATGTTCCCGTTCATCCTTCTCGGATCTGGTGTTGTTACTTACCGCACACTCCGAGCATCCTGGTTTGACTTTATTTTTAAATTCTCTGGAGCACTGAATGTGTTTTCCCCGGCAGTGAAGTAGATTGATGCCTGTTGAGGACGTCAAACTCTCTTACCATGTTGTGAACGATCCTGTTGCACTGAGACTAGCCGGCTCTGAGGAGGTGAGGGGCAGGCCCCTGGAGTCATGAGCTAATCGTAGGCTATGTCCTGGGGCCCACCTCCTGGGCCAGGCCTGGGCTGGGGCTGGGGTGGCAAGGCTACCTCAGTCTATTCTTGTGGGAGCTCCATGTCAGGAAATTAGGAGGAAGAGATGGACACGTGCCCAGAAGATTCCAGAAAAAGTGTGATTGAAAACAGTCTTCACCAAATGCAGACCCACCTTAGACACCCACTCTGGTCAGACCTGAGGACAGACACAACCTGACTTGCCCTCAGGGAGCATGCACTGTTGGGTGGGCAATGGACAGGTGCCCCAAGGAACACGATTTGGGCCAAAGCTGGGGTGTGAACACTCTGGTTCCTGTTTGTATTGTTTGTTCAGCAGCCAGACTACCCACCTGGGCTAAGTGCTGGGCTGCTCACTGGAGACAAGACGGGGGTCAATGCCTGTCGTTGATTTCCCCCACGGCCTGTCAGCGAGGCCTGCACTGCACCCAAGGCTGTCTTCCTCCTGTCCTCTCCCACCACAGTACTTTAAGAAGCAGAAGCGGCTCATCCCCGAGAGGACGGTGTGGAAGTACTTTGTGCAGCTGTGCAGCGCCGTGGAGCACATGCATTCACGCCGGGTCATGCACCGAGGTACGTGCTGCCCACCACCCCTGGCCCCTCGACGGGAAAGGCCCAGGCCCTGCCTGAGGAAGACAGGCCACTTTGTGTTCCCCACATGGGTGAGTGTCAAATGTCTTGCCTGACTTTAGCAGGGTCAGAGAGTGGGCAGGTGTGAGGCCCCAGGCCCCACTGTACACAGATAACTCATTCTGAATGTCAGGGACCTCCCCTTAGTGGACAAGCACCAACTGTCAGGTAGTCACGTGAACCCCAGGGAACAAAGCCCATACTCTGCCCATCATCTCCAGTCCCTGGCACTCAGCAAAGAGGGGGTACAGCATTGGGAGCCAAGGGGCTGGCCAGGGAGACAGCCAGGCGTGGTTTGTTACAGTGCTGCTGCCAGCTGCACCTGGAGGTCAGGGAAAACATCCCAGAGAAGGGAACTTTTCATAGGGGCTTTGAAGTCTTGGTAGGAGTTGGCTGGACAAAGGAGGTGAGACACCCACAAAGGAGTGTTTCCAAAAGTTGTCATCACCCCTGAGTGGCTAAGAAGGAGCTGACTATTCTGAGTACCTGCTGGGCTCGAGGCCAGGGGCTGGAATTTGACTTCACTGATCCTCCATTCATTTGTTCATTCATTCATTCCATCAGTATTTATCAGTATCTACTGTGTGTCAGGCACTGTCCTTATCACTGGGTATAACAGGTTACCTCATTGAGCCCTCCTGCCCCACCCCACCTGGACTTCCTTGTCCCCACACCAACCCCTCTCTCTTCCCTGGCAGACATCAAGCCGGCCAACGTGTTCATCACAGCCACGGGTGTGGTGAAGCTCGGTGACCTCGGCCTGGGCCGCTTCTTCAGCTCTGAGACCACCGCTGCCCACTCCCTAGGTAAGCATAGTCTCCTGTGCCCCTCTGGACAGTCCTGGGCTCCCGTGTGGGAGATTCAGACTTTCTCCCAGTGTGCCCTTGTCCCTCCAGTTAGTGCAGGGAGATGGTATTGCTCAGTATCAGGTCTTCCTCATCTCTTCCACTCCACAAACACTCCCTGAGCACAGGCTCTGTGCCGAGCACAGTGACCCGGAAGAAGTGAAATGAGCCCCAGTAAGGGGCTTGCCCTGGGCCCTCAAGTCACCTCATAGCCCTGTCGAGTGGGGAGACAAGTCTCAGTGTTGCATGCGGCAGTAATTCCATCTTTACCTCTGTGTAGTATTCCACTGTAGAGCTGTGCCACACTTTGTCTGTTCTTCCTGGTGCTTCCAGTTTGGGGTTTGAAATAGGTGATGGTGGAGCTGTATGAGCTGGGACACTCACCCAGGAGAAAGTGACATTATAGCTGAGCCATGAAGCATGACCAGGAGCCAATGGGGCAGAGAGGGTGGGAACAGTGTTCCAGGAAATGGAACAGGGTGTGCAGAGGTGCCGAGGCTGAGTAGGTGGCCTGGTTTGGATAGAGAGCAGGGTCCTGGGGATGGTGCTGCAGGAGGTGTAGCCAAGAGAAGCAGGTGGGGCTTCAAGCACCCAGCTCTGATCTGGGCTCTACCCTGGGGTGAAACAGTGGTGGGCTTTCAGAATCCATCACCAGGTCTGTGACTTTTCATGAAACTTGGAATGATGGATGATGGGAATTTTTCTTTGGAATATAGGAATCAGCAAAGCTATCTAGTGGGACACCAAAATAGGACCCTTTGTGCATTACAAAGAAGCATGTCAGTGTTTAACCATTGGACCCCATGTGGGAATGCTTCCTAGCGGCCTGTGGGGTGGACAGGGGCACCCTGTTTTCTCCAGAGCCAGTTCTTTGACATGGGATTTGCAGAGGAAGGTGCTCCCATCGTCACCTCCTCAGACGCCGCCCCAGATCTGGGCAGACGCATCCCCGTGTGGATAGGAAGGAGCTGGGTCCTCCCCACACGGGCTGGCTGCTTCCCTTGGAAGTCACTGTTCATCATCCTGCCCCTTCCAGGGCTCGGCCTCTGGTGCGTCTCCTGTCTTCCTACAGCTGCATGCCTGTGGTGCGTCATGTATGCTCACAGCATCTCCTGGGGATGGGATGGGGTTTCCTGGGAGACACACCTTCCTGGTGGACACTGTCACTGTTCATACAGGTCCCAGTGGCTTAGAGACTCAGTGTAGAGCACACAATTAGGAGAAATCCACCCCTCTAGAAATCAGCAGCCAGAGCTGCTGCGGGAGTGTGTGTGTGGTTGTGTATGTGTGTGTAATATGTGGTGTGTGTGCACACGAGTGTGGTTGTTTTGAAACTCTCGTTCCCATCTGACCCCTGAGATGCTAGAGCAGCTGCCTTGGCCCCTGTCAGCAGTGGTTCTTGTTACCTGGCTCCCAAGGGGCCCCAGCTAGGTGGCCTCAGAAACTGGGCACCCTGGAGCCTTCCCTTCAGCTCAGAAGGATAGACTGTGCGAGGCCCTGCTGTCGGTGAGGTTTCTGATCCTTCATTCAGGCCTCCCAAGGTGGGAGGGAGCCCAGGGTCCTTCTGTTTGCAAACGAAGATTCTGAAGTTCAGGAAGATTGAGCAGTTTGCTTTCTGAGGTTGCAGAGTGGCAGAGCCAGGCCTTGAACCCAGGCCTCTCAGTCCAGAGTTGGTGCTTATTCCCAAAGATCAGGGTTGGGGGCCTTGGCAGATAAATAATGCTGGGGTCTCCCTCTGGGTACCCCAGCACCAACTCTCCTGTTACTGAGAAGGAACCTGTCTTGGAGACACTTCTCTTGTTAAAGTCAATGTGTGTCTGTGGCTTGAGACTGTTCACCTCTCTGGTATAAGAGCTTCGAAAAGGCCAAAAATTCAAGGGACTGTCAGAGAGTAAAATGCGCTGCTCCTGTCCCCGTCAGTCAGTTCCAACCCTTCTCTGTCGTGCTCCAGAAAAGACTGCCGCGCTCCGTCAGAGCCAGTTACGATCACATCATTAGCAACGGGCACAAATACGGTCTTGTCCGACAGTGTGATTTTATCGACTTCGACTGGTGCACTTATTATATTAATGAGAAAGAATTGGAACTTGGGAAAAGGCCGCCTGAGGAAGCTGGGCTTTTCCCGAGGCCTCAGAGCAGCTGCCCAGTCCATGCGATGGGTGGACGCTTTCCTGGGACCTGCCCTCCCTCCTGGCCGGCCGAGTGCCCAGCACCCAGGAGTTGAGAGGCCTGCATGGGGCTCTGAAAGGCCCTGTTTGCAAGCACCAGTTCCCGGAACTGAGGGCCTGCCTCTGCACTGACCCAGGCTCCGCGACCATGACAGTGCAAAACCAAAGCCTGGGCCTGAAGTCCACAGGACCCAAGGGGAAAGACTTCCTTTTCACAGTGAGGTTCTGCAAAATGGCTAAGTCTTGCACACACATTTAATGGGGCAAGAGATTGGACTAATTGCCCTATACTGTGACTCAGGAAGAATGCAGGGGGCGAGGTACCTTCACACTGTGCGTGGGCATGAATTATGCATCTGCTGCATCTAATGCACACCTACTATGTGGGGATGCTGTGGGGCCCGCTATGTTGCCCTGGCAACCACCTCGGCTCTGGTGACCCAGGAGCCAGGCATATGCAAATCCTATCTCCTCCTGCCTCCCCCTCCCCCAGTCCTCTCCCCACCTCTGTATTTGCTAACATGAGGCTGGCATGAAAGGGCATTAGTCAGTGCCATGGCCGGGCTGACAGGTGCGGTACCCAGCAGTGGCAGAGCGGCTGCCTCGGTGTCAGGAATAGGAGCCGTAATTAGAGCGCGGAACAGAATGAGCGTCAGACGAATTACCAGGCAGCAGATCATATTTGTCAGGAAGGATTGCATACATAAAAATTAAGTGACAGTACACGCCGGCGTAATGAAAGAAAAATGAAAGATTTGCCTATACACAGCTCACAAGCTACAAGCAAGTGTCTCGCTCCGAGCAACGGCAGCAGCTGCAAGACAAATTGTAGGGCCGGGAGAGCAGACCCTGCTGGCTTGGTGACGGTGACAGGGTGGCCATGGGTGGGAGCAGGGCTGGGAAGGGAGGCTCGCTCACATCTAGGGCCTGTCCATGCAGGGCCCCGTGCCACCGCCCGGGGCTGGGGGAAGCAGGTCCAGTTGGGGCAGCCTCCATCGGGTCCAAGCAGTCGGGCCCTCTGGCCAGACCACGGAGCGTATCTATTCAGTCTTTCTCCTTTCCCTGATCTGACTGCCCCGGCCCTAGCTGGGTGCTGGGGACATGGGGGTTATGTAGCCATTCTGCCTTCAAGGGACCCCCATACTGGAAGAAATGGGGAGACAGATACAGTCAGACCCAGGGTGGCAGGGTAAGGGGACAGATGGAACTCTTTGCTGAGGGCCCCCTTTGTAGGCATGGTGCAAGGCTCAGTGTAAATTTCACCCTGCGCAGCCCAGGTTCCACTTAGGGTCTGGGGCTGCTTCATCCCCACCCAGGGCTGCATTTTCACTGTCACTGAAGTCAGTTGTCACTGAAGACGTGAATTAACAAAGAAGATGAGGCTTAAACAAATGCTTGGAAAATACGTTTGTTAAAAATATCACAGTATTTACTGTCTGCATTTTAAAGACGAAGAAACTGAGGCTCTGAGGTGATAACCCATGCCCGGGGCCACCCAGCAAAAGGGTGCTGAAGCTGGGGTCAGCCAGCACCCAGTGCTCTAATCTGGGACATGAGCCCACAGCATGGCAGGAAGTGGACTTTGGTTGTGGGTGCTCAGAGAAGGGGCTGAGAGAGGACTCCCCATGAGCTGTGAGTAGGGGGGACCCAGGTCTAAGTGCCCAGCCATACAGGGAGAGCCCATCCCACTCGACAGCAGCAGGAGGTGACCCAGGACCAGGTGGGCTTGTCCTGGGCTCCACAGGAAAGGAGGGTGGAGCCTTCTGTCCTGTGCAAGCACTCCCATGAACCCCTAGGCCAACAGGAGTCCAGGGTGGGCCATCCTGTGCTGTGACATGTTTGCCCCCCACCTGGCCTGCACAGCAGGTGCACCGTTCTCATGGCCAAGTGTTTCTGGTGGTGGTGCCCATCAGGCAGGCACAAAGGACTGTGCAGACATGTTCCTGGGTCTCCCCCCAAGCCTCACCCACATCCCCTTCCAGCAGCATGGAGCACCTGGGAGCAATCCTTGGGAACACCATCCTTTAACCTGCACCTGTGTCAGCAGATAGAGCTCCAGCCCAAGTTTTGAGGGGAGGCTCTGAGTGCTGACACTTGGGAGGGAGGTCACACGTGGCCTGGCTTGTCTGCCACATTCCTGGCATTTCCAGGCCCACACCGTTAGAGAGACAAGCTGATGCCAAAAGGGGAGACGGGAGGACCTGAAGGGGACAGCAAGTGAGGAGTGGGCCTGGGCCTCGGATGCCAGCTACAGTTGTTTTATTTGTTCATTCATTCATTCATTCATCAAGGCCCCTGCCCTTGCAGAACCTACAGTCTGGGAATCCTTTAGAGTTCTCACTGAGCCAAGCACTGCTGGAGTATCTCATTTAGTGCTCCCAGCCCTCTCTGGGGTGAGAATTACCACACTCAATGTGAAGGTCACAGTGTGATGAAGCCCCATTGCTACATGCCTGAGGCATCTACAAACAGCCCCTGGAGGCTATATAGAGATATATACAGTTACAGTGTGGAGGTCAAGATCAATCTGAGATTCCATGAGCCATTTTTTGGATGAAAGCTTTATGTCAGGAAAATACAGGGTGCCATGTAGAACTATGGGTGTGGCCTACCTGATTTCCATGTTGGATATACTCACTCTGAGAGCTGGAGAAGGGCAGGGATTTGCACCATGTAACCATACAGGGAGCTCTGGTAGCATAGTGGCTAAAGCGCTTGACTGCTAACCAGAAGGCTGGCGGTTCACACCCACCAGCCACTCCTCGGAAGGAAGGTTGGGCAATCCTACTTCTGTAGTGATACTGCCTCGGAAACCCAAGGAGGGGTCGCTATGAGTCGGGGCCGACTCGACGGCACATAACAACAACAACAACAACCATACAGTCAATGGCAATAATGTCCCTGCTTCTTCTTTAGTCTTTGCCCAGCTCAGCATGGACTCCGCTGGTTGGTTCGAATCCATCTAGGGGTGCCTCCAAAGAAGGGCCTGGCCATATACTTCTAAAAGATCACGGCCACTGCAAACCCCATGGAGCAGGGTTCTAATCTGAAACACAGTAGGGTCTCCATGAGGCAGAATGGACTCCCAAAGGGTTTGGTTCTGGTTTTGTGATCAGTGTCTGATTACCGAATAAGCAAGTTAAGCTCATGCTTACTTGTGCTTACTTACTAATCTGTAGTGGACAATTTCAGGTTTTTTTTTTTTTTTTCTCACCCATCAAAGATTCTTCTAGGTATGGCTGGCTCTGTTTCAACCCCACAGGGCCTTGCTAGGGGCCAGCCGGATGGCGTTGGTGTGAGCGTTGCTGCCCAAGGATCCCAGGCTGAAATTTGGGAGGCGGATGAGTGTGGATGAGTGTGGAGCGTTCTCAGATGCCAGGCTGAGGATCTGACCTCTCTCCCTTAGGGATGGGAGAGGTTAGGCCTGGGGGGCGGGGGCGTGGCTTCTGCCTCCGGTGGAGGGTGGGAACGGAACACGGTGAGGGACCGGTGCAGACAAGTGAGGTGGGGCCCGCTAGGGCAGCTGCGGCGCTAGAGCGGAGGCGACAAGGGAGCGTCTGGAACCTGACGGAATGTTAGGGAGGGGCAGGGAGTTTCTTGGGCCCGCGTCACAGGGGAGACTGAAGCGCAGGGTCCCACCGCCCGGAAGCTCTAGCGTCTGGTCTCCTTCCGCCCCACCTGCTGTTCTTCCCGTTCCCTCACTCTCCTCCCCACCCGCAGCCCTTGTTTTACCCGCTCCATCCTGGGGTCTGTGGCGGCAGGGCCCTTTCCACCGCAGATCCCAGTAGAGTCGGTTTTGTTATCCCCAGTTTTGAGAGGAAACCAAGGCTCTGTTGTTGTTATTTGCCGTGGAGTCGGCCCCGACTCATAGCGACCCCTCCTTGAGTTTCCGAGGCAGTATCACTATGGAAGTAGATCGCCCAACCTTCCTTCCGAAGAGTGGCTGGTGGATTTGAACCGCCAGCCTTCTGGTTAGCAGTCAAGTGCCTTAGGCATTATGCTACCAGAGCGCCTAACCAAGGCTCAGAAAGGTGAAAAGAAGGACCACAGGGAGTTCATCCCCTCCCTTCTATGGATGGGGAAACTGAGGCCGAGAGAGAATTTAAATTCCCAGCTAGTGAGCGACCGAACTAAGTTCAGACCCGCGTCGATCGCTACCTTAGCCACATCCCTTCTCCTGGGCCGTCAGCATTCGACCCTGAAGCGCAGACATCCCGGCCAGAACCCGGCGCGGAGACGATGTCTGCCAGCAGACCACGTTTCTCCAGCCATTTCTGAAACCGCAGTTTGGGGAAGCGTTGCAACTCACCCATGGCACCCACGTCAGAGTCTCTTTCCTGTGAAATCTTTGCCTTTCTTATATCTAACGAACATGTTTCAAACACCGTGAGCATTTCAAAACACTGCTAAGTTTGTTTTGACAGGAGCGACGCGTCTCGGGGAAGCGGCCGCTTTAATCAGCCTCCCCCTTTGAGGGCCCGCGTCCTCCTCTGATATCTACCGGGTTTGAAATCTGGTGCCGACGCCGGGAAGGTCAGGGTTGGTTAGGCTCCTCTTTCATATGCTGAGCGCCGTCCCCCACTGCGAGGAGAGGGAGTGAAAGCCTTGCTGGAAGCCTCTGCGTCAGAGCGCCGCCTTGAGGCCGGGCGGGGAGACGCCACACTGGCCTGTTGCTGTGTCGGCCAGAGGTCTCCCGGAGGCCTCCGGGATAGAAGGAAGCCTGGCCTGGGCATGGCCTCAGGGCCCAAGTCCAAGACTGTCCCACTGCAAGCTCAGGGTTTCTTTGAAGTCTCTTGTTTTATCTTTAAAACTTATACAAGTTGTGTGTTATGTTCTCTGATATTTGAGTATTTGTTGTCAATATAAAAATCATGTTTTTAGTGATTTGCTCTCAGCAAAAGCAGGCATGACAGGAAGAGATGGTATAGCCTTGTAGTAGACTAAAGGGGATCAGGCCCACCCCTGGGGCAGGAACACTGAGGAACCAGTCAGTACCAGCACAGACAGGCTAAGCCTCCCTTGGGTAAAGTTTCATCAATTCGTTTATTCATTTGTTCCACAGATGTCTGTTGAACATCTGAAACAATGAGCAGGTGAGCAAACAAAAGCCTTGCAATGGCCAGGCTCAGACTGTACTGTACATCACAGTCTCCCAGGGGCTTGTGGGAGATCCACTGTCCGAGCTCCATTCCTGGAGATTCTGACCCCACAGTTTGGGTCAAGGGTCAAGAGTTTTAACAGGCTCCTACAGGTGCTTCTGCTGTGGCTGCTATTCAGTCCAGCCTTAGCGGTTAACGGGCTCCATGTGCATACTTACCCAGACAAGCAACTACCTTCTAATGGGCCCACTCCTGATGGGGTTCAGCCCAGTGTCAGGGCTTCAGGCCCAGCCTGGCCAGTGCAGCCCCAGGCCAGAACCCAGCCTGGGGGCAAGTCATGTCCTTCATCGCCACCCAAAACCCAGGCCACTCTTCAGGTCATCTGTCCCCACAGAGTCTCTGCTCTGGAAACCAGACAGATCTAAAACAAGTAAAGGATGAGACTGAGGAAGGGAGAAGCGTCTGGCCAGGTCCCATATTCCCAGCCAGGAAGGAGCGTGGCCTGCAGTTTGGCTGCAGCCAGTCAGAAGAGGCATGCCATCCCTCTCTGAGGACAGGGCTTTGGACCTCCACCTCTCCCCGCCATCTCTGTGTGTATCCCATCAACTCCACATTTCCTTTCAGTGTGGGAGACAATTTACACCTTGTGAGCACGTCTGCGGTACTCAGGGTGCTAGCATCCACTTACAGTTTGTCCTGGGATTCCCACTGTTAACTGTGAACTGTTTGGATTTCATCCTGTGGTTGAGATTTGACAAGTCATCCATTTCACACTTGGCCGTTCATTTTACTTTTGCTCCCTCATGACCAAAATATATAAGTGGTTACAACTTGGAGTCACAATTTGCTTTCCCAATAGAATCCGACACAGATTCATAAATTGACTGACGGCTCTTTCTGCTGAATTTCTATCAGCAGTGGGTAGAAATACCGATCCCAGCTGCCTGATCCTCATGCTCATTCTTAAGTCTGGCTGGGTCCTGGGAATTTCCTTTTTTTAAGTTCTAATGCCCTACCACGGGGGAAACCTCCAATCTGGCCCACTCCCCCTCATTGGCTAGAGAGGGCATAGTCCCAGAAGGGGAGACAGGGATGCCCAGGGTCCCAACAAGACTAAGGCTAGGTCTCTCCCCAGCCCCCATGTGCTGCCTCTCCACCTCACCCACATGCCCTGCCCCTACATGGAGCATAAGCACCCCCCTTGCTGTGTTTCAGTTGGGACACCTTACTACATGTCACCGGAGAGGATCCATGAGAATGGCTACAACTTCAAGTCCGACATCTGGTCTCTGGGCTGTTTGCTGTACGAGGTGAGTCTCTGGCCCAGAGCTTGGCAGCATTTGGTAAGACACACACAGTGGGCCTCTGATCAGGGTAGGGCCTTGCCTATCAGCTCAGGGTAGGACACAGGTGAGCAGTGCTCACCTGCAGCACCCCTACCCCCAGGGACCTGACCTTCATTTCTCGGCCCAGCCTCTGCCACTGGCATTGTCAGGCCGAAGGTCAGAGAGGTGGGCCGTGAGTGGCAGACTGAGTGCCGTTTCGCCCTTGGCCTGCTCTGAGTCTGAGAAGGGAAACAGACCGGAAGTCCCCCCCGGGAGAGTTCAGTGTCTTCTTGTGGAGGGAGCACAGGCAGGGGCACAGGTGGGGGATCTGGTTGCTCAGATGACCTGTGCTTGCCGATCCCCAGCGACCTCGATTTCCCTGGTAACCATATTAACACACTGGCCCTGGGGATCGGAGAGAAATCAGGCCTGGTTCATGCCCTCAAAAGGTTTCCTGGTGAGTGGTATCCATGTCCCTCCTGGCCTAGTACCGAGAGTCTCACTAAAGACCATGGCCCCTCCCGTGAGCCATGAAATGGAGCCACCAGGCGGCCATTTCCAGATTTGGCAGGCAGCCTGGAGCAAGGAACAGGAACATTTCTGAGTCTCCATGGGCTTGGGCAGAAGACAACTTGAGTAAGTGGAAGCCCCTAGCCATTTTGGGCCGGCCACATTGGCGTACTGGGGAGCACAAGCCACTCGTGGCCACAGAGCTGTTGCGGCCAAGGCAGGGAGACCTGCACCCTTGGGGGTTCCAAGCCTGGTGGTCACACCTCCCACCACCCTGCCTGGACCACCTTGTGCTGGTGGCTCGGGGATTCCATCCACTTGCTGAGCCCCAGCTTCCCATGAGCAAAATGAGAAGAGCAGTACGCGTTCTGCCTTGTCATAGTCCAAAGGAAACAATGACACGGAAGGGCTTTGAAAACCCCCAAGGGCTATGCAGACACCAAATAAATCCACCCAAGTGTCAAGTCCAGAGAGACAGAAACTGCTGTTCTGGGTTTTTTAAGGTCCAAGCAAATGCCCTCGGTGTAGTAGGCAGCCAGCAAATACAGTTTTGATTTAGATTTGTGTGTGTGTGTGTGTGTGTGTGTGTGAGAGAGAGAGAGAGAGAGAGAGAGAGAGAGAGAGAGAAATGATGCAATTCACATAGCTATGGGAATTACGGGGCGCTCTGGTAGCATAGTGGCTAAGACCTTGCCTGCTAACCAGACGGCTGGCGGTTCAAACCCACCAGCCACTCCTCGGAAGGAAGGTTGGGCAATCCTACTTCCGTAGTGATACTGCCTTGGAAACCCAAGGAGGGGTTGCTATGAGTCGGGTTTGACTCAACGGCACATAACAATAACAACAACAACATGGGAATTATGATGAGAGAGTGCAGGGTCCTCAGGTGAGCCCAGGCTTTGGTCAGAAGGATCTGAGTTCAAATCCTGACTCTAGCACTCGCCTACTGAAGGATGTAGGGCGAGTCATTTCCTTCATCCTCAGCTTCGCTACCCCACACATAATATGGGGTCACACTCTGCCTTGTTGTGAAGAGTAAATAAGACGCTTAAGTGCGGCCCCGGTTCAGAGAGGCCCTTGGGAAACAGCGTTTGCCCCCAGCCGCGAGGCCTCGCAGCTCAGCGTGCCCAGTTTCCCTTCTTGCTATGGCCAGCAGGAAACCCAAGGGCAGCTCAGCTTCAGTCCCCGTGGAGGGCTTGGGTTTGTTCTTTCACCCTCATTTATATTGTTCCTGATCCAGATGGCTTTTCCTTTTATCCGTCCATTTTGTGTTTTGTAATTTTGTAAACCACTTCCTGCCCTCTATGAACCTGAGGACCTCCAGACCAAAACACATAAACAGGCACACCAGGGTGTGACCAAGGGAGCCATGCTCATCTCCCCAGAGCCGAGTGGGGGCAGTGTGGCAGCCAGTCCCCCCTGGTTGTGCCAAGACTCCTGCCACAGCCAGCCCTGCCGCTGCCTGAGCCTTTGTTTCCACCCCTTTGAGGCCGAGCTGTCTGAGCCGGGGCCCTAAGGCGCCAGTCCTATTGGGTTCCCAGTCGGACGTCCTCGCCCAGAACTCATCCTGGGTCCTAAGCGCACGTGTAAGGAGGCAGCGTCTGCGTTAGTGGCTCCCTGGCATCGAGGCTCTGGTTCAGCCAAGTTGATTTATTCGTCAGCGTTGTGTGGGGCCGTGCTGCTTGCCGCCAGGGAGAGCGATATTGGCAGTGGGAAGTCAATGAAATAAATCGATAAAGTCCCGCGGAGGAATCGAGAGTCCTTACGGTCAGTGGGCGCTGGTCTAAACCTAATGGCCCTGGGGCTCCCACAGGCAAGAACCAGCGTGGCTGCCCGGGCAGTGCTGCCAGCCCCGCCGAGGGTGATGGACGGGGTTGTGGGTCAACCCAGCCAAGTGGTGAAACCCCGGGCTGGTGGGCACACTGGGCTCCCCCAGCCTCTGCAGGGAAGGGGAAGCGGATGTTTTCTCAGCAGAGGGGAGGGGAGCCACATCTGAACCAGGGCTGCGCTAATTGGAAGGAAGCCTCCCAGAGTCACGCCTGGAGTCTCCCACTGCGCAGGCTGCAGCGTCTTCCCAGGGTGCCAGGCTGAAGGGATGTGACGAAGTCCCCACTCACCCGCTCCAGACCACGGGGGAGGATTCGGCCCACCCTGAAGGAACAGCGTGGTTTGGGAGTCTCAAAAGCCCCACTGTATTAGTTGCTGTCGCTACTGTAGCCAAGTACCACAAACTCGTGGCTTCCAACAGCACAAATTTATTCTCTTCTGGAGCCCAGAAGTCTGAAATCAGTTTCACTGGGTCAAGGTGTCGGCAGGGCCGGTTCCCTCTGAAGGCTCCAGGGGAGAAGCCTTTCCTTGCTCTTTCCAGCTGGAGGTCATGGGCATTTCTTGGTCCGTGACCCCACCTTCCCATCACTCCTTCCTCTTGCTTCTCTCGTCACAAATCTCATCTGTAGTCACATCGCTCCCTGCCTTTCTTTATAAAGACACTGTTAGGACATTTAGGGTCCACCTGGGTAATGCAAGAGCTTTGGTGGCCTAGTGGATAAGGCACTTGACTGCTAACTGGAAGGTCAGTGGTTCAAACCTACCAGCTGCTTGTGGAAGGAAGATCTACTTCTGTAAAGATTTACAGCTTTGGAAACCCAACAGGGGTCGCTGTGAATCAGGAACAACTCCATGGCAGAGAGTTTGGAGTTTGGTTTTGGGTAATCCAGGATGGCCTTCCCATCCCAAAATCTTTAACTTAATCACATCTGCAAAGTCCATTTTGCTGCATAAGGCAACATTCCCAGGGGCCAGGGATTAGGACGTGGACAGCTTTGGGAGCCATTATTCACCCATCACACTCCTTTCACCTGAGCATCAGGTCTCCACTGAGGGCCTCCTGAGGTCACCTCAATATGCTGACCTGTAGCTAGTGAGGCACTGCCACAAAACTCTACAACTGGCCTGCCCGCTGCAGGGCTGGGGGCCAAGTGGAGTCTGTCTTGAAGAGGTCAGCATCAGGAAAAAATGTGCCACGTGGCCCAGCAGCTAGGAGCAGCACTGCCCTGGCCAGTGGAGCAAATCATGAGGCCAGGCAGGTCCCAGCATCTTTATTCAGGAGCAAACTGAATCTCAGAGAGGGGAGGGGATTTCCCAGGGTCACACAGCAAAGAAGCGGCCAAACGGGTACAGGTTCCTAAACTGTCGAATTCTGCCCTCCTATCAACAGGAGCCCAGGAACTCTGGTGACATAGTGGGTAAGGCATTTATTCAGCTGCTAATCAGAAGACTGGTGGTTCAAACCCACCACCTGCTCTGAGAGAGGAAGATGAGGCAATCTACTCCAGTAAAGATTTACAGCCTTGGAAACCCAATGAGGGTTATTGTGAGTCAAAAATTGACTCAGTGGCAGTGTTTTGTTTTTTTAAAATCTACAGGAGCCAGGGCCTGGCCCCCAAAACAGGAATGGATGTGTGGGGCTTTCTTCCAACCACCAGGTGGCCATGGTGGATAAACAGGTATGGGTCTTTGGCCCAGAGCCCCCGCAAGGGGGAAAGCCCAGTGTTGAGGAGTCTGAGCAACCCCCGGTACCCCGGCTCCATCCCGCGGCCACAGCAGCTACTCCTCTGTCTCCGGAGCTCCCAGCAGACATGCCTGAGCATGGCCATGTGGGAAGGCTGCTGCTTTATTTTCATTACCCAGTGTGCCCCGTGGAGGCGCCCAGCAGGCTGCCTGGGCTTTGCAGAATTTATTTATTTACATGGGAGCTCAGCTCCGTATCGGCATTGGAGCTGAAGGAACTGGCTTTGTCTGCGCTGGCCCCAGGATCCTTGGTGGGGGCACATCTCACTGCAGCCTGCAAAAAGCTGCCCGAGATTGAGATCTAGTAAGAAAGCAGGCTGGGGGAAAAGACCCCAGTGATCAGCCGTGCCTCTCACAGAATCCTGTTCTGGAAAACTAGCTGGAGCTGGCAGAAAGTCTGGATGCCCCTACCTTGTGGGGCAGTGGGACTGTGGACGCCTTCGTAACTCGCCTCTGGTCTCACCCTTCACTCCAGGACGTGCCTGGGAAATACTGGGTGGCAAGACGGGCATCTGAGGCCCTCACAGGACAGCAGTCAAACACAATCATTGTTCTATCTGAAGTCAGATTGCCCCTTCTCCCTCTGATATCTCAGATCACACACCAGCTTCTCTGAGTCCTCCCAGCGGGCCCGAGCGCCCACACATTCCCTTTTCCTTGGCTATGTGTCATCCCAATAACACCAAAGAGAAAAAAGTTTTGCATTTGAGGAGCAGCACAGAGAGCAATGGCGGCAGTTCTAACGAAGCCCCAGTATCAGCCCAGACGGCAGTGCCTGTTCTGCTCCGACCGTCAGAGGCTGGGTGGTCACCTGTAAGAGGGGATCTCGCCATCCAGAGTAATTCTTCTAATCCCAGTGTCGCAAGCAGCCCCAGAGGCCCTGTCACAACCTGCTGCCCTGATCTGTGTGGAAGGCTGGCAACTGGAGCGGGGACAGGCGGGGACACTGCTTTCTCCAGATACGCATTCGTGGATGGAAAAGCTGCCATCAGCGGCGGGGGCCTCAAGGGAGCCCCTATGACGGCCCACTGCTTGACCCTCCCAGAAAGAAACTTTCCTGAAATGATGCAGGAAGCATGCCGGAAAGGATGGGGAAACCATCTGGGGTGGGGGGTGGAGATAAGAGGACTATCACCTCTATTTCTGGGATCCTTTGGGAGTTCAAAGCAGTGAGGCTCGTGAAAGCCAGATCAGATGGGTTTGTTTCGGGGATCACCTGACTCTCTCCCAGATGGAGTACAGGAAAAACCAGGGCCTGCCTTAGCAGGGCAGATTTTAGACTGTCCCCTCTTTCAACCCTAAACAGTAACAGTTTCCATCTTAATCCTCCAGCCATGCCTCAGAGGGCACCAGATCACAGTGGGAGGCCACCCTGGAGTCTCAGCCGCTCTCTGCTATGGCAACAGATGTCCTTTTGAAACTGCCGAATTAACCCTTTGCACCCAAGGTTCTCATTTTAATTACTGGAAATGCATCACCCAAGGGATGTCATTTTGCGAACTCGCTGGTAAAGCCAGCTCCTAGCCAACTTGGGCACACGCTGCATCTTTCATAAGCAAAATGCAGAGCCACTCCCCTGGCTTCTTCCAGAGGAGTTTCATAGTCCAGACAGGGCCCAGCCCTCCTCAGACAGGCCCAGGTGGACAGCCAGCAGCAGGAAGAAATCATGCTGCCCCCAAAACACCAACCTGAAGACCACTCTGGCCCAGGTACCTGGGCACATGAGTGCTGCCTAGGGGCGGACTCCAGGGCCTGGTTCTGAAGGAACACCCAAATGTCCAGGCCTCCCCAAAGGCCATTTCCAAACTTGAGGATGCTACCCGGGGCTCTGAAGCCCTCCTCGGTTCTTCTGAAGGAAGCAGGCCCTGCTCTGGGGTCACCAGACCCGCTCAGAGGGGTGAGCAGAGGATGGGGGCAGGCTGCGAAACAGAAGGCAATGAGCAAGCCCAGACCCAGCTGCCACGGACCTCTCCTGCCCTGAGAGAGGGCTCCCGGCTCCACCCCCTGGGCACAAGGATGAGAGGACTCAAGTCTCCAGTGCCCGACCATAGTCACAGTCACAGCAGGGGCCCATGGGCAGGAAGCTTGTGCAGAGTGGTCCTGGCAGACTGGCTTCTCAGAAGGGAACCAGGACCAAACGGGTGGCGGGCACAATTACCAATGGCACTTCGTTAGCAGGAGGCGTTGAGCCGTTATTCGGCAGCAGGCGACGGTGAACGGGAGTGACGAGAAGCACTTGAGTCCCATTATGGATTAATCAGCAGATGGGGCTGGCAGGCACCATGCTGGGCTGCCGGGACGCGTGCCTCACAGAGCCCCTCCACGGTCCCTGCTGCACCCTCTTGTGAGTGCTCTGAATGGTGGGGTAGGGGGGTCTGGCACCCTTCAGAAGGGGGTGGCCTGGTAGTTTCTTAACTGGATGAAAACCAGTCCTTTCCCTCCTCAGGAGTGGGCCCAGGGCCGTGGGCTCATTGGGCACGACACCAGCTTTGCTTGTGCGGCCTTCTCCCCACGCCATATAAGCCTCATCATAGCCTTGTGGGTGGAACCTCTTCCCATTTGACATATGAGGAAACCAAAGGCTAGAGAAGAAAAGAGATTTTGTCCAAGGCCGTCACACAGCAAGCAAGTGGCAAAGCTTGAATTCAGGCCGGCTGCAGAGCCAGATACCTCCCTTCCACCCTGGAGCTTCCCTGAAGAGGAGGACCCAGGCCCCCTGCACCCAGCCTTCCTTCCTCCCACCTTCGCTCCCTGGTATCTGGACATCTGGCTTCTGCAGACGGCAGCAGTCACCACCCTAACTCTAGTCCTTCAGACAACTCTGTAATGAACCAGCAAGAACAGCCTAGGGTTTAAAAAGCCAAAAATACATGCTTCACTTACTTCTACCCAAAAAAAAAAAAAAAAAAAAACGTTAGTCCTTAGTATTAGACATGTTCTCTTGGGTGACTTTGGAATTGTTTTGTACACAAATATAACAATGCACTAAGGGAACCTGCTGGGCCCGGGGAGCAATGCCTCCGTGTTCTGTCTGCTGCGTGCACACAACCACAATCATTCCTTGAGTGTTGAGGCCTGAGGCAGGGGCGGTTCTGCACATGACTGGCCGCCCTCAGTATTCAGCTGCCCCTTCCTCATTGCCTTTTAGGTTTTCTCACTGAAGTCCTTGTCCCCAATTTATTTAAGGGGAAACTAAACCAAACTCTGCCATCAAGTCGTTTCTAACTCATAGTGACCCCCACTGGGTTTCCGCGGCTGTAAATCTTTATGGAAGTAGATCACCCTGTCTTCCTTCCGTGGAGCAGCTGGTGGATTTGAACTGCCAACATTCCAGTTAGCAGTTGAGTGCCTTAGCCACTACACCACCAGAGCCTTGCTATAAGGGGGGGAGGAAAAAAACTAACAAAACCAAACCCATTGCCGCTGAGTCAATTCTGACTCATAATAACCCTATAGGACAGAGTAGAACTGTGCCATAGGGCTTCCAAGGCTGTGATATTAATGGAAGCGGACTGTCACATCTTTCTCCTTTTGGTTAACTGCTGAGTGCTTAACCACTGCACCCCAGGGCACCAAGAGAGAAAAATAAACAAAGAAAAACAAACCTGCCATCCTCAGTCGATTCCAACTCACAGCAACCCCCAATGGGTTTCCAAGGCAGTAAACCTTCATAAAGTAGATCGCCTCATCTTCCTTCTATAGAGTGGCTGGTGGGTTTGAACCACCAGCCTTCTGGTTAGCAAATGCCTTAGGCACTGTGCCACCTGAGTGCCTTAGGAGAGAAAAAGAGGTCTCAAAGACGTGTTAAAATTGCTCCTTCCTGTTGAATCACAGCTTCCTCAGGATTTGGGGGGAGAAGCCCTACTGGATGGCCGCTGCCGTGAGGACCAGCGTGCACTCCCTCCGGAGCGGCCCTTCTTGCCTCTCAAGTGCTAGCCTCGGCTGGAAAGTCATCTTTGTTGTCCTCCTCCCCTTGCAGATGGCCGCTCTCCAGAGCCCCTTCTATGGAGATAAAATGAACCTTTTCTCCCTCTGCCAGAAGATCGAGCAGTGTGACTACCCGCCTCTTCCTGGGGAACATTACTCTGAGAAGGTGAGTCTGCTTGCTAACCTGGCACGGCTGAAGCCAGGGGCCAAGCCCAGCCAGTCCCACGTGGCCAGCAGTCGCTCACGAGGAGGGGCAGTCCTGAAATACCACAGCTGTAGGGTTCACTGAACAGGATGGAGAAGAGAAGATTTCTAGGAAAGTGACCCAAGAGGGATAACAAGTAGATTAATTTTACAAAAGGGGCTTCATGGACAGCCGTGTGGGCTCCCAACAGCAGGACGTGGTCCATCCAGCGGCAGTGGAACAGTGGGAACTGGCAGATAACGCCATCAGCACACTTCTGCCAACACGTTTGGCTTCTCCGTGCTTGAGTGTGAGGCTTGCTGCTGTAGGTCCCAGAGACACTGTGATTCGATGCAACGGAAGGCTTGAATAGTTTCCTTCAGTTTTTTTCAGCTTGAGAAATGCTAAGTGTGTGCTTGGTTTTTGGTTTTTCAACTCCAGGTCTTTGCATATGTCATTATAATACTTTACTTTTCTCTGAGGGACGGGAACATTTCTGAGTCTCGGTGGGCTTGGGCAGAAGACAGCTTGAGTAAGTGGAAGCCCCCACCCGTTTTGCCCGACCACACTGGGGCCCCAGGGGAGCACAAGCCACTGAGGGCCATGAAGCTGTTGCGGCCAAGGCAGGGAGACCTGCACCCTTGTGGTGGTTCCAAGCCTGGTGGCCACACCTCCCACCACCCTGCCTGGACCACCTTGTGCTGCTGGCTCTGGGATTCCATCCACTTGCCGAGCCCCAGCTTCCCACGTGCAAAATGAGAGCAGTACATGTTCTGCCTTGTCATAGTCCAGAAAAAGGAAACAATGACACGGAAGGGCTTTGAAAACCCCCAAGGGCAGGAAGCATAAAAAGATGGAAGGGATACACAGAGTCACTGTACCAAAAAGAACTGGTCAATCTTCAACCATTTCAGGGTCAAGAATCCATGGTACTCCCATGTCCTCTAACCTTGTGGCCCAGCCAATCACAGACGCCCATGGTCACTGGCACCCTTTCTGCCAGGCGCTTGTGTACTCAGTGCAGTGCTGGCTGGCTTTGCAGACTCCCAGAGGACAAAGTTAGGGTTAACAACCCATGTCTTCCCATAAAGTTGTATAGCACATTTCCTCTCAGCCACAGCTTCTGTTTCAATGACTTATAAAATTCATACATGTGTCTTTGGAGGCAGTACTTATGCTCTGAAGTGGAAAACCATACTCACTGCCACCAAGTTGGGTCCGACTCATAGCGACCCCTCGTTGGGTCTCCGAGGCGGTATCTCTACGGAAGTAGAGCACCCAACCTTCCTTCTGGGGAGTGGCTGGTGGTGGAAAGTGGTAGGAAAGGAAAAAACAATTTAAGAAACAGTGAACAGCTGCCCTTGGTTTTTCTTTTTTCCTCATCTTTTGTATGCACGTGGAATCCTGTACTACTCAGATGCAAGAAGCCAGTCACTAGGAGCAAACCACTTCAGTGCGTCCGTTTTCCGTCTGTCAACGAGAACTGGAATCTAAGGCTGAAACAGACAAATCAGCCCCCTTCTCTCCCAAGTCAGTCCTATGTTCATGGGGTACTCCTCCCCAAAGCGCACAGTGCTCAGTGGTCCTGTCTGGGAGCCAGGGGTGCTTCTTGTCACTGTAACCCCTCAGCACACCCCTTCTGAAGCTTTATCATCTATTAGAAATGGAAAGAAGGAAGATGCTTTTTGTTGTTTCCCTGGATTTCTGAAAATTTCAAGTACACACACGTTGTACTGTGTGGGCTACTCACAAGTGAGCCGTTCAGCTCACATACACTTTGCTTTAAACTAGTTTTCGTGGGTATTTTAACTTGTCAGAGGCCACACACAGCTACTTCCCCCTTCAGTATTTTAAGATTCAGAAAGGCCTCATCTCATCCGTAGGCGACCTGACTCCAAGAGTGTCCGCAGGGGCTACAGGCTCAGCTGTCACCTGCTCAGGGTTTTTGTACACCAGGATCCCAGAAAGACCCATGCACAGCTTGAAGGGGATGCCCTAAAGCTCTGTAGACCAGTTAGAGAATTCTCCATCCAGACGATCTCCGTTTGCAGGAGGCCCAGGCCCATTCGGCCTGAAACCCCCTCATCAGGCAATCTGTACAGTTGCCCCTAAATCTCCAGAATGACCCTTTGGCCCTGCCCAGCGTCACTGCACATAGCAATGGGACGCCACTCGAGACTCCTTATCCAAGGCCTCCCTTCTCCCCGCTGCTGCCCGTGACCCCGCAGGGCGAGCCAGCCCCTCCAGCAGCAGGTATTTAAATGAAAAACATTGTGGTGAGCCCGGTGATGCAAGTTAAGATGCAGGCTTTCTAAGGTCATTATTTTAATTACCATTAAAATAATTGGCACTCTGACTATCAGAAGAATGTGAGGCGATCAGAGGCTCAAGGCATCCCCTCCCCCACCTTGAGGCGGAGCAGCCTTCAGTGTCTGTATAATTAAAAGCTCCGTCTTTCATGAGCACAATAAAGAGGCCAGGGGGTGGGCAGACTGCGGCCCTGCTGCATGTTAATGCATTTATTATGATCAATAAGCCCTTCCTTGAGTTTTGTCCTCTGGTTTGGGCATCTGCATGATTGACGGCCCAGAAACACCCACAGGAATGGCTTTGCTCAGTGGTCTGGAGGACAGTGGAAGAGTCCAAAGTTATTTAGAGGGAGGTAGCCACGCTCAGGGTGCCCAGGCGTGGCCCTTGGGGCCAGACAGGCCTAGGATTGGTCCTGGATATGACTCAGTAGCTGTGTGACCGTACATCTTCTGGTTGCTTTAAGGATGGAATGGGCTAACGCTGAGTGCAGTGCCTGAGTAAGACTGCTTCCTCAAGAGTAACACAAACCGTTCTCTCCTCACAGTTACGAGAACTGGTCAGCATGTGCATCTACCCGGACCCCAACCAAAGACCTGACATCGGGTATGTGCACCAGGTTGCCAAACAGATGCACGTCTGGACTTCAAGCACCTGAACTTGGATGCACCATGCCTTACGAAAAGCCAGCACCACTTTGCCTTACTTGAGTCTTCCTCTCTCACAAGTGGCCACCTGGTAGCCTAGGACTAAGACAAGAGGGTTTAGCAGGTGCCCAAGGGGGCCGGGCTTTACAGCAGAGATGCTGAAGACACCATCTGGGGTGGGCACTGGTCATATTCAAAATGGTCTGTAACTATTGTGGACAATCTAGGCTGGGTTGTTAACAAGGAGAGAGGTTGGTCAGCAGGCCCTCAAAGTGCCCCTTGTATCTGGATTGTAATGTGAATCCTCTGGAGAAGCCCTTCAGTGACTCTTCTACATTTATTCGAACACAATCGCAGGAGACTGTGATTGTATAGTGAGCCTTTGACATGGTGAGTAGTTCTGTTTAGTATCTTTTCCAGCAATCTGTGTGCTTAATTTAGTCTGTTGTAAAGCAATAATGTGGAAATCTTTTTTTTACTTTCCCCCCACATAGAGTGGAGATTTTGCTAATATTTTTTATCTGCATTGTAACTTAATGAATGGCAATAAGAACACAGCATCTGGTGTAGCACTTCAGAAGGCAAATGATTTGGAAAGCCATTGAGTTTTCCTTGAGTCCGGTTCAGCCATCTTCTACTGAGCTCCTGCCGTGTACCAGGCGCTGCATCGGATGCTGAGACTTGATTTCATTATCAGTGTTAAGCCGTGGCAGCACGGGATACAAAAAGGAACAAAGCCTCTACCCTCACGCTGTCCAATCCACACATTCTGGTTCTGCAGCCTCCTGGTATGACCTTGGACAAATTTCTTACCCTTTCTGAGCCTTCGTTTTCTCATCTGTCAAACGGGACTAATGATACCTACCTTCAGAGCTGCTGACTGACAGATTTTGAAATTAAGCATGCCTGCCAGCCAGCACACAGTAGATGCTCCAAAAATGGCAGCCACTCTTCCCTTCACAAAACTGAAGTCCATGGATTATGCCAGTCAAGAATTCACGCCCAGCTATACCATGTGTAGGAAACCAGACATATGTTCATTTATATCTTCTTCCCAGATAGGATTAACTGTGAAGATTAATTTATAAATGTGAATTCAAGCTCTGAAGGAAACAGTTTGAATTTTGTTTTTGTACTCAAATTAACCCTCAAATGGCCTTAGTTGATGTCCACTGACTTGGTGGCAGCTCAGCCCTCCAGACCAGAGCATAATCCCCCCCACACACACACACTTGCTCCACTGGTGTCAGGGGTTTCTGACTCACCTGGCTGACTCGGTGAGCTCACTGACCAGGCCTCCATGGAAATAAAAGGATTTGGGACTGGGGCATTGCTGTTTCCATGTGTGAACTCTATTCTACTGTGATACTGTAGGTTTTGAGAGATTTTCTTCAGATGCTATCTTTGCTTTGTACTTGTTCTCCATGTTTGAAATAAAATGGGGAAGAGGGGTTACTTTTTTGAATGAGTGTGATTCATGGATAATTTCAAATGTTTCATACTCTTTCCTTCTAAACTCATGGGCCCTAAACTTAAAACCGAGTCAGCAGCTCAATTTCCTGGGCCCCAGACATTCTGAGCAATCGTGGAATCTTCTTAAGTTCTCCAGGTGACTGAATAACTCACCAGCCAAGTTGCTGCCCTAAATAATTCCACTGTTCTCGTCACCCGACTTGGGGTAGCTGAAGGGAAGCTGGCTACCAGTGGGTCCACCTGGAAGACCGTGGTACCAGGCCCAGCAATGCTCGACCCGGGGAAAGTCAAGTCCTTCTTGCCCATGCCTAGCACTTTCCACTGAAAGTTGTTCTGAGCCCGACAAATATTTAGCAAATACTCCTCTCACAGCTCCCAGAACCCCTATTGTGTCTCTTCTTGGCAAAATCAGTCTCCAAACACAAACTTGCTTGCTCTACTCCATCCAGTTTCAGCATCGAGAACAATTCTGCCTGACTCCACTGGACCCCCCGGCGACATCCATTTCAACCACTCACTGGGCCTGTATGTTTGGGAAATGACCCTGTCTTAATTATTACAGAACAGTAAACCCAAAAGCATTCCTTGTGATTTCTGTGGAACCAGACAGTGTAGATAACTCAAGTGAAGCTATGGGCAAGGCACACAGTCCATCCCTCCCCGTTTTTCTCAGTATTTGGAAGGGAGCTGGGCTCTAGAAATCAAACTTGGAGATTCCTCTTTCTTTCTTTCTTGGCTATTGGAGTAGAAGGCTGTACAGCACTCAACCTGAAACAAACCGAGGCTACCTTGAACACAGGTGAGCACGAGGGGTGGGTGTGAATGCTCACCTGAAGAATCTAAGGACCCCAGCTGGACCTCCTGCAACAGATGAGGCATCACCCCTCTGGGTTTAGGAGGGTTACATCATTCTTACACCCACCAAAACCCAGACTGGTACTCCAGGAGAAATTTACATCCTAAAGGAGGTGATGGACCTTAGCAGCCCCCCCAAAAACATGCAGCCCCCAGGCCTCAGCCACCCCAATTTGATTTTCTCTTTTTATTGAGTTTCATTCAGCAAACAGTGGCCAAATGAGTGTCTTATGGAGAGGAGACCCTCCGATGCTCTCAGTCTTCTCGAGCAATAACCAGCCAGCCAGCCGCTGGCACCATTCAGGAAGTGTCCATTGTTTGCACTGTTTCCTCCAGGACCTCAATATCCAAGGCAGTGACTTTCTTGGTGAGGACGGCAGTGGTCCCTTTCTCACACCTGTACCGGCCAAACCTAGTGAGAAAGAAACAAAAGCACATTAGGATTCCCCTTCAGATGCCCTGCAGAGGACAGGACACTGAAAAATATTCGGAAGAGGCAGCAAGCAGGGCTGGCCTGGAATCAGAGCTCTCCTAATTCCCAGCTTGGTGACCCCAGCAGGAACTCAACTTCCCCAAGGCTCACTTTCTTCAACTCTGAAGTGCTGCAAAGGGGACCCCTGGCAGGTGTGGTGGTGGTGTCAGGTGCTGGAGAGTCAGCTCTGACTAATAGTGACCCTGTGGACAACAGAACAAAGCACTGCCTGGTCCTGGGCCATCCTCATAAACCTTGCTACGCCTGAGCCCATCATTGCAGCCACTGTGTCAATCCATCTCACTGAGGGTCTTCCTCTTTTTCACTGACCCTCCACTTTGTTGTTGTTCTTGTTAGGTGCCACTGAGTTGGCTCCAACTCACAGTGACACTATGTGCCACAGAAGGAAACACTGCCTGGTCTCGTGCCACCCTCGCAATCCCTGCTACACTTTAGCCCATCGTTGCAGTCATTATGTCAAGCCATCTCTTTGAGGGCCTTCTCCTTTTTCGCTGACCCTCCACTTTACCAAGCCCACTATCCTTCTCCAGAGAATGGTCCCTTCTGACAACATGACTGAAGCAGGTGAGATGAAGGCTGGTCATTCTCGCTTCCAAGGCGCATTCTGGCTGCACTTCTTCTAGGACAGATTCGTTAGTTCTTCTGGCAGTCCATGGTACTTTCCGTAGTCGTCACCAACACCACAATTCAAAAGGATCAACTCTTCTTCGGTCTTCCTTATTCACTGTCCAGCTTTCATATGCATATAAGGCTATTGAAAATACCATGGCTTGGGTTAGGCGCACTTTAGTCTTCAAAGAGGTATTTTTGTTCTTCAGCACTTTAAAGAGGTCTTTTGCAGCAGACCTGCCCAGTGCAGTATGACACACACCTTTCCTGATTTTAAACCATGCATCATTCTCTTGTCCTGTTTGAACAACTGTCTCTTGGTCTATGTACAGGTTCCTCATGAGCACAATTAAGTGTTCTGGAATTCTCATTCTTTCCAACATTACCTATAATTACAATGTGTTATGATTCAGTCAGATGCCTTTGCATAGTCACTAAAACACAGGTAAGCATCTTTCTGTCATTTTTGCTGTCAGACAAGATCATCTGGCATCAGTGATGATACCCTTTGTTCCCCATATCCTCTTCTGAATCCAGCTTGAATTTCTGGCAGTTCCCTGTCAATACACTACTGCAACCATTTTTAAATTATTTTCAGTAAAATTTTACTCGTGTGCGACAATAATATGGTTCGTTAAGTTCCGTATTTTTTTTAAATGGGCACAAATATGGATCCTTTCAGCTGGTTGGCCAGGAAGGACACTTCCATATTTCTTAGCATAAATGAGTAAGCACCTTCAGTGTACCTGTTTGTTGAAAACACCTTAATGGGTATTCCATCAATTCCTGGAGCCTTATTTTTCACCAATTCTTTAAGTGCAGCTTGGTCACATGCTACCTCCTGAAATGGCTGAATGTCAACCAATTCTTTTTGGTACAGTGATTCTGTGTATTCCTTCCATCTCTTCTTTTGATGCTTCTTGCATCATTCACTATTTTGCCTACAGAATCCTTCAGAATTGTAACTCCAGGCTTACAATTTTTTCTTCAGTTTTATCAGGTTGAGAAATGCCAAGTATGCTTTTCCCTTCTGGTTTTCTAATTCCAGATTTTTGCATGTTTCATTATAATACTTTACTTTTTCTTCTTGAACCACCCTTTTTTCTTCTGGTCAGCTCTTTTATTTCATTTCTTCCATTTGCTTTTGCCACTCTCCAGTCAAGAGTAGGTTTCAGAATCTATCCTGACATCCATTTTGATCTTTTCTTCCTTTCCTTTTAATGACCTTTTGCTTTCTTCAAGTATGATGTTCTTGATATCATCCCACACCTCGTATGGACTTCTTCAGTCACTGGTGTTCGATGTGTCAAATCTATTCTTCAGGTGGTCTCTAAATTCAGTTGGCATAATCAAGGTTCTATTTTGGCTCTTGTGGACTTGTTTTCATTTTCTTCAGCATCAACTTGAATTTGCATATGAGCAATTGATGGTCTGTTCCACGGTCAGCTCCTGGCCTTGTTCTCATTGATGATAATGAGCTTTTCCATCACCTTTTCTACAGTAGTAGATTTGATTTTTGTGTATTCCACCTGGCAAGATCCACATGTATATTTGCCATTTATGTTGTTGAAAAAAGTATCTGCAATGAGTACACTGTTGGTCTTGTTTGCAATCATGCAATCTCCAGAATCATTTCTTTCACCAAGACCATATTTTCCAACACTGATGCTGCTTCTTTGCTTCCAACTTTAGCATTCTAATCACCAGTAATTATTCATACATTTGATTGCATGTTTGGTCAATTTCAGACTTCACAAGTTGGTAAAAGTCTTCAATTTCTTCATCTTTGGCTTTAGTAGTTAGTGCATAAACTTGAATAATAACAGTATTAACTGGTCTTCCTTATAGGCATATGGATATTATCCTATCGCTGACAGCACTGTACTTCAGTATAGTTCTTGAAATGTTCTTTTTGATGACGAATGCAATACCATTCCTCTTCATTTTGTCCTTACTGGCGTGGTAGACCCTATGATTGTCTGATTCAAAACGGCCAATACCAGTCCATTTCAGCCTAGGACACTGATCTTTATACATTCCATTTCATTTCCAAATTTCCTAGATTTATACTTTATACATTCCACATTCTGATTATGAATGAATGTTTGCAGCTGTTTCTTCTCATTTTGAATTGTCCCATTAGCAAATCAGGGTCTCAAAAGCTTTACTCCGTCCACATCATTAAGGTCCCTCTATTTTGAGAAGGCAGCTCTTTCCCAGTCATATTTTGAATGCCTTCCAACCTGAGGGGCTCATCTTCTGGCATATACCAGATGATGTTTCACTGATATTGATAGTTTCGCAGTACTGTATTAGACAGTGGTTCAGTGCTATTCATACAGGTTTTAGTGGCCAATCTTTTCAGAAGTGGATGGCCCCGTCTCTCTTCCCAGTCTATCTTAGTCTGGAAGCTTCACTGAAACCTATCCACCATGCTGGTATTCAAAAAACCAGCGACACAGCTTCCGGCATCGCTGCAATATACAAGGTACCACAGTATGACAGACAGACAAATGGTGGCAGGTGTAATGCACGTTAAAAGAGATAACACAGAGAAAGCACTTGGCACTCAAATTTCCTTCCTCACCTCACATCCCCAGTAGATGCCACAAAGTATCTGGTCATTTGATCCCAGCTCCAATCTTGCTAAAACCTCTTTCAGTAATCAACAGGAAGTAAATCCTCTAAGTTTCTTGTAAAGCAACAAGAATGACATTAACTATTACTTACCTTAAACATTTAAAAAATACCTGGTAACATAAAACAATATAAAATGATCCACCGCCAAACTGTGAACCTGTCACTTTATATAACACCCATGAGACTCTTGTCAAGAGAGTTAATTGTCCTTATGGGGACAAGGTGAATCGCCAAAAGGACACAGCCAACACCTTTTCATGGAGTCAATCTGAGCACAAGGCAGTCTGTAAGGTACATATTTGAACTGTTAATTCTCACAGTGGGGCCAGGAATTACGATGCTGTCAAACAGCATCACAAACCCAACTATCCCTCTGGTCTGTCCCTAGCTGGGGCATTATTTCTGTCAACCTGGCACATGGGCATGGAATACCATGTGTTCCTCAGAAACCTAGCATCCCAAAAGGGGACTCGGGCTCAGAGAGGGAGCAAGATACAGAACAACGGGAGGGAGACTTGCAGAGTTCAGTCTCCAGTTCAGGAGCTTGGGTGGCCAAGAATGACTTGCTTTCGTTTCTATAAAAACGTCCTACCCCCTCACCACACTCTTATTTTTTTTTTTTTTTAGTAATTTCATTCATTTTGTTGTTGAGACTATACACAGCAAAACACACACCAATTCAACAGTTTCTACATGTGCCATCCGGTGACACTGATCACATTCTTTGAGTTGTGCAACAATTCCCACCCTCCTTTTCTGAGTTGTCCTCTCCCATGAACATAAATTCTCTGCCTTCTAAAGTTCCTATCTAATCTTTTGAGTTGCTGTTGTCAATTTGATTCCACATGGATAGTTCTTAAAGAGCACAACGTTTACAGCAGACATTTCCACTAGGTGAGCTGAACTACTGTTTGGTTTTAAGAAGACTCCAGGGGATATTTTTGGTTTAAGGTTTAAGGATTATCTCAGGGCAATAGTTTCACAGGTTCATCCAACCTTCATGGCTCCCAAAGTCTTAAGTCTATGGAAGTACAAAATTCTGTTCTGCAATTCCCCCCTTCTGATAAGGATTCTTCTATGGAATCTTTCATCAAAATGTTTAGTAATGGTAGCTGGGTATCATCTAGTTCTTCTGGTCTCATGGAAAAGGAGGCAGTTAGTTGTTTATGGAGGCAATTAGGCATACATTCCATATCCTCCTCTTATTCCCGACTCTACTTCTTCCTCTGCTGTTCCAAGTAAGGTAAACAAAAACCAATTGTTGTGTCTTGGATGGCCTCTTGCAAGCTTTTAAGACTCCAGGCATTATGCATCGAACTAAGAGGTCGAACAGAGGCACTAAACGGTTATTAAGCCAATTAATTGAGATGTCCCATGAAACCATGGCTCTAAACCTCCAAACCAAGACACCAAATCCCATGAGGTTTTTGGCTGTACATAAGCAGCCCCAGCAGCTACTCTTTTATTTTTTGTTGTAAATATGTCTTTCACATAAATTTTGCCAATTCAACTTTTACAGGTGTCTAACTTATTGGCACCAATTATAATAATCGGCTGTGCAGCCCTACCCTTAATCAGGACAATTATTTCTATCACTATCAACCCCCCTTTCCCTCACCTCCCATCCCTGGTAACCACCAATAACCTTTGTTCTCTCTATATTAGCATTCTCTTTTCGAGTCAAATCATATGATATTTGTCCTTTTCTGACTGACTTATTTTACTCAGTATGCATGTCTTCCAGCTCCATGCATATTGTAGCATGTATTAAGACTTCATTTTCCTACTGGCTGAAGAGTATTCCACTGAATGTATGTACCACATTGTGTTCATCCATTCATCCGCTGATGGATATTCAGGCGCTTCCACCTTTTGACTATTGTGAGTAGTGCTGCAATGAACACTGCTGTACAAATCTCTGGATGAGCTTCTGCTTTCAAGTCTTTGGGGTATACACCTAGGAGTGGAATTACTGGGTCATATGTTTGTTAGTCCTATTTCCAGTTTCTTGAGAAACCGCCACACTGTTTACCACAACAGCTATACCGTTTTACATCCCCACTAGCAATGGGTAAGGACTCCAATTTCTCCATGTCCTTGCCGATATTTGTTATTTGTTAATTTTTAACATTACCCATCCTAGTGGGAGTGAAATGGCATCTCATTATGGTTTTGATTTGCCTCTCTCTGATGACTAATGACGTTGAGCATCTTGTCCTGTGTTTGGGGGCCATGTGAATGTCCTCTTTGGTGAAAAACCTATTCAGCTCCTTTGTGCATTTTATGACTGGGTCATTCATCCTTCTGTTGTCACACACTATCCAAATTTTTAAAAATACACCCTGGTCCCTCCCTACCAGCCTGGAAACTTGGCCAGCTGGCAGACTTGGAGCCAGGGTCCCAAGTGGCCCCTGTACGCCTGACTCAGCTGAACCACACCTCAGTGTTGCCAGGAGGCTTGGACACACAAGAACCACTCCACCTCCTGGTTTCGGCGGCACACAGAGGACTTCTACCGTAAGCAACAATGCATTGCAGACTAGGACTACAGAGGGCAAAGAGTTGGGGGAGACGACAAAAATTTTCAAAGCTAGGTCCACAGTGTTTCATTCTGTTGCACACGGGGTCACTATGAGTCGGAGCTGACTGACGGCACCTAACAACAAGTAGTAGTCCACAGTGGTGTGAGGCACAGGATGCCTGCCCCTACTCCGAATATAGGGTTCTCCTAACCCAGGCAGCATCCCACAATCACTGACAAAAAGATGATAGGGAAATCCAAGAGAGTGTGGACTTGATGGTACAGTGTATGCCCTCTGACACAGAGCAGTGAGCTTTCATAATTTTGAGTTTAAGTGGTAATGAATACCTATTTGTTTTGAATATTCTATTCTTGTGTAGAAGGGTTAAAGCAACTATTCCAGAAAGTGACGTGTTTGCTCTCCTCCGGCCCAGCTGTGGGGTTGAATGGCAGGTGGTACCGTTTGTGAGTCCCCTCGGCCCTGACACAGATGAGTGCAGCTGGAAGCAGAGCTCGGAAGGAGCCCCATTCTGGGCTAGTCAGGCTCCAGGAAGAGGTTAGGAGACATGGGCTGGGCCCAGCAGCTAGACAACCACGAAGAATGACAAATGACCTTCCAGTTCTGTTCGGGAAATCAACTAGATCGGCATGCTCCCACCCTTCACCTGGGCCGCACCACTGAGATGGCGCCTGCTCAGCCTGTGCCAGAATGGCAGGAATCCCCCAGAGCAGGAAACCCCAGAACGTTCCCAAGCATTGGATATGATTAACCAATGGTTTATAACCTTTTGGGAGTCATGAACTACTCTGAGGGAGAAAAAAAAGTGGTGGTGGAGGTTGTTATGGGCTGTCTGCTCTAAAAACTGTACCTTCTCCTAGAATTTCAGGAGATTTTTAAGAAACACGTCTCTCTTAGCCCAGCTTAGCCCTCTTCCCTGGGCCCCATATCACCTCTCCCATCAACACTTTACAAATTAAATCACTTTCCTATACCTGACAGCAGCCCACAATCATAAAGCAAAGAATGCCTCAAAGGTCTGTTGTGTACAGCTGTCTGGGGAACAATGGATTTACTCAGCATGGGAAAGAATCAGGAAAACCTGTCCAGATGTCATGGAGATACCAAAGGCGGCCATGGAAGGCGGGGAACACAGGGAAGAATGAGTGTCATTTACCTGGTGCCCTTCTTATTGGGCACTGAGAACGGGCGGAGAAAATCCAGCTTGCTCTTGCTGATGACACAGAGATCAATATTGCTTCCAGACCCCAAGTCATTGAAGATGCCAGCTGCAATGGCTTCACTCACCAGCTTCTTGGCTTCCTCCTCCTGAAAAAGAGAATGACAACAATAGTGTCCACAGCCAGACTGAGGCCTCGCTCTCCATTCACAAAGTGCTTCCACAGGCATTATTTTCGACACTCATTTTATAGATGAAGGAAATGATTCAGTACCTGAATGATACCCAAGGTCTCTTAGCTGGTAAGAGGGAAAGTTGGGCCTTTCAAACCCCTATATGAGCATGCACCTTCTTCACACCACACCACACTGCCTCATGGTCGTCTCTGCAAAACTGGGAACTCCGGGCCAACAGAGGACAATTTACCATCAAAAACAGGTCAGCAAACTTTCCTTGTAATGGGCCAAACAAGTATTTTAGGCACTGCAAGCATGCAGTTTCTGTCACAGCTACTCAATTGTCATCATAGCATGAAAATAGATATAGACAATATATAAATAAATGGGCATGATTCTGTTCCAATAAAACTTTATTAACAAAAACAGGTGGTGGATCAGATTTGGATCACAGGCTGTCGTTTGTTGACCTCTGACCTAAGATGTCCAACAACAGCTGAAACTTGCTTCCTGCTCACATAATGGAAAAAGTCATTATCATGGGGAAAAAAAATCACTAACACCAAACACAACAATGGTCTGGGAAATTTTGGCAGTGATAAGAGTGGGAGCCTCCTCCCTCTAAAGAGCCTAAGTTCACTGAAGTGATTTATTTCTTTGAATCCCTCTCTCCTCTGCTCCACTTTAGGAAGCACATCCAAGTCCCCCAAAATTACTAGTGAACCAGTGGATTAATTTATCTCCCATCCCACAAGGCCTACTGTGTGCCAGCCCTGTGCTAAGAACAGGGGCTGCAGAAAGAGATAGGGCCCCAAGGTCCTTGGTCTTCTAGGGGCTTAGAGTTCAGTGGGGGCATGGACCCTACGTAACTACAATGCAATGTGATAAGGGGCTAATGGAAAACCAACAGCTGTGGAACACTTGCTGGGTCAGGGAAGGCTTCAGGTAAGGCGGAAGGCCAGGCACACCGAGCACTTCAGAAAGCAAGGTCGTGAGACAGAAGGGAGGCAGAGAAGGCGGCAGAGCAGGGCCCAGGGACATCCAGTTAAAGCTCTTCATGCAGCAAGAACAGAAACGAACCACTTTCCAAAAAAGGGAATCCAACCCGTTCCGCAGCCCCTTCCCAATCCACCAGGGAAGGAGAGTCCATACACCATGCTAGCTGAACTAAGGCGCTCAACTAAGTAAAACCCCTTGAGACACACAGACTCCCTGCCTAAAATTCCAGTCCTGAGATCCTCCAAAGGTGGATTCACTGACTTCGAATTGTGAGAAGACCTGAAAGACCACTCAGGGCTCCTGCTCCTCTGACTGCCCCAAGTCAGGAAGTGAGATTTCAGTGACATGAGCGCCCTCTACAGACAGAGAAGGCGCTGCTGGCAGTGGGATCCTCCGCAACCCAGCAGCAGGGGCAAGGGCATTATCCTGATCTTTATCCCCTCACTCTTTACTTCCCTAATGGCACCTAAGTGGGGCCAATGAAGGCACATACCCTATATACTCAGTCCTCTAAGAGTAATTTCAACAGGAATTCCCTTAGTCAGGATTCTCTCCCGGGATTCCCAATAGTCTATGAGGCCAAAAGCCTTGCCAGAAACCAGTGAGGGTGGTAGCAAAGAAAACATTTTAAACACAGATAAAGACAGAGATGGCTGCTGCTGCTGCTACCGTACAGACCACAGAAACCAACTGCTTTAACACTGCAACCTCATTCCAACTCGTTTCTTTGAAGATGGTCAGTAGACTTTTTATGATTACCTTTTTAAAAAGCAAAGCCCTAGAAATTTTGAGTTTATCAAATGACCCCAGGGGTGTGTGTGTGTGTGTGTAGTGGGACACCCTGTATATTCCTCTGCTCCTGACCTACCATCTCCTCTTCCCCTCCTCTTATCTGCTGTTTTATTATTTCCTCTGCTTTGTCTTTTCTCATCACTGCCACTAGTGCCTTGAGCCAGCCATGAGAATCGAGTGGACATCACTCTTCTTGCTGGCAGTACTTAGGACTGCACATTTAAATTTCCCCACTTTTTTTCTTCTTGGGGGATAGAGCTGTGGAAGATTTAGAAGAAACTGAAATACACATGTGATGTTAGACATGTAGATCTAATGTCCAAGAATTAGACTGGGCACATGAATCTCAGACTGCTGGTAGGGATATGAGATTACAGGTAATCCTTCCTCTATTTTGCAAAAATTGTGTGTAGATAACTTACACAATTTAAAAATGTGCAAACTGAAGGACATTGTGCATAGCTCAATTTACTCATATAATTATCACGCTTACTGTTATTTAAATGTACAGGCTTTATGAAGGTAGGAAACGATACCTTTTAAATTTCATTCCTCCCCACCAATCCTAAGGGAGAAAATTCCTTAAGTAAGAAAATCTCACAGCAATCTGTTTCCACCCCCCACCCCAGCCCCACCTCCCTCTCATATACACAGGGCAGATGTTATGAAATGAAATTAATCTTACCTTTACCAAGCACCTGTTACAACGTACCAAGTTAGCCACTTTGACCCCCATAGCCATTCTATGAGGTTAGTATTGTCAGAAACTAGAGATCCAATGATTTGCCCAAGGTCTCACAGAAGGAAATAGGAGCTGCTATTCAAACCTGGCTCCTGAGGGCTTGAGAGCCAGAACACATATCCCACACCAGCTCACAAATGGTCTGCCTCAGCCTTAGGCTGGGGGCTTCTCAGCTAGCCGCACACAGGGGACACAGCAGGTTCCCTGATTCAGGGCTGTGCCACTCCCCCATCACCAGGATGCTCAGGACTGGGCAAGTCAGGAAAGGATGGTTGACAATTCTCACTGGGTCAACTAGCAGAATCTCTGCAGGTCACTTCCACTGGGAGAGGGGGAGAGAATGCTGTGTTTCCCAAACTGCCTACAGACCACTACCTAAAGGGCCTTCTTCACTATCTACCAGGTTATAGCAACATTTCTGTAATGTAATAATGTCAGATACCAGAATTAAGATCTTAAGGTATTATTTCACATATTCCACAAAACAACAAACCAACTCTCAAAACACAAACAGGATAAAAATTTCCAAGGCTCTATTGTCTATACATTATTTATGTAATGTCTTCAATAACTATTTATGAAGACCTACTATGTCCTAGGAATTGCTTCATATGTTGAATATTGTCTCTGACTACATATTTCCCCACCCATAATTCTACACGCATATGCAAATATGCTGCTGGGCATATTCCTACTTTGTTTTCTTTATAATGGAATTTCACAAACAACTTTTGTCTCTAACACGTGCTACTAAATATTTAGGAAAACCATCAAAAAGATCCACAAACTAAAAGCAAGAGGGGAAAACACCATGTTTTTTATCTGTCTCTCGCCCACAATAAATATAGGAAGCACTGTTTCTTCCTTTAGAACTCATTCTTCACAGGGAACCTGCACCTCCCCTTTCTGAAAATGCAGAGCAACCTGCGTTGTGAGCAACATCTGCCTGGGGACAGCTACTATAGAGGGGCTCTGACTAGGGCCCAGCAGAGCCCATGACCCCAGCTGATCAGCCCCATGTGCAATGCTCTCTCCCTGCCGGGGTCTGCCAGGGCCAGCATCCTCCCATGGCCAGCTGCTCATGGATTTTATACATTGCAAGTCACAAAGGAGCTTGGATTCAATGTGTATATGGACCAGGAGGACTCATCCTGGTTACTAGAAAAGTGCCCCTCCAAGACAATAATAACTTCCCTCTTGTTTTGAGATGCTCAGCGAAAAGACCACCATGACCTTGGTGATTGAAAACGAGTTGGGGGAGCCAGATTCAAGGTCATCCTGGCAGAAGTGGAGGCAGACAGACAGGGTTTGAATCCCCAATCTCGCACTTACTGCTGTGCAACCTTGGGCAAGTCACTTCACCTCTCTGAGTTCACTCTCCTCTTCTGTAATATACTAAGTCCTGCCTCACAAGATTGCTGCAAGGATTAGAAATAAAAGCGTCTGGCACAGTGCTGATGCTTAATAAATGGTAACTTATTTAATAAAGCAAGTCAAAGGGCTCCTAAAAGTGTAATTTATTTCTAAGCAGCCTCTACCAAGCCGCAGGCCAGAAAAGAAGGTCCGAACAAACCTGCTGACAAATCTTCATGCAGTGCCAGCAAACTTCCTATAATTAATCCAAGCAAAAAGCACACTCCCTAAAAGTTCAGAGAATATAAAAGGAACACTTCCTGCTTTATAGCTACAAAGACCAAACTAACTGGGAATATCAGTCCCCCGGGCCACCCCTGCTTCTTAAATGAGATTACAATAAGAGTGATGTACTGTACTACAAGTCAGCTGTGACAAGCAGCACTTTATAGAGCTATCTGTTTGTCTCCATCACTGCATTGCACAATGTGTCCCTGGACTCCAATGTGCAGCTCCATTTACCGCTACATGACAAATGGGCAGCACTTGTAAAAGGCACAAAGAGGTCCACGTCGGCCGTGTAATGGTCACCACAGCTGTACCCGAGTGCTTGAGGGGACAAAACAGACCCCCAAGTTCATTAAACTGACCAGTAATGGATCTTTCAAAAAGTGCCTTAGGAATCGTACAGAAAAGGCTAAAATAAATAACTCAGCATGGAAGGCTAATCTGAAATGGTGTTTGATAAATTATTTATAACACAGGCGATTGTCTGCATTTAATATTGGAGCTACTAGTAGCATCTTTAAAAGATGATTTATGTGTTGTAATGCTATTAAACTTTATATTGGCCCACTGCTAGCTATAAAGTCTGCTGAGATTTAGAGAATGAGTTTTAAACTGTCACTGCAACATCATAGGAGATGGAGACTGTATTAAATCTTTACTTTAAACCTGTTATCTAGAGAGTTGCATTTTGTAGACATTCACAAACTGATAGATTACCTCGGCATCCACTATGGTGCAGGTCCAAAATAGTACTGCAAAGAAACTTTTCACATTATTCTTGTCTACAGCTACCACTGAA